AACATCTGCGAGAGTTTCACGGATTGAAGGTGGTTCTTTTCAAAATGTGGCTCTCGCCTTAGCGCGGCGCACACTCGCTTTAAACCATTTGCAAGAGATTCACGGATTCCGATCATCAACGTGTCAAGAATGGCGTTTTGAAACGATTCAGGATTATGCGGGTGCAACAGTTATGTTGATTCGCTGTGTTGAAGTCCCAGGAATGGTGTTCTGGCACGATTCAGGATTGTCCAGGCGCAACAATCAAGTTGATACGTGGCGTTGGAATCCCGAGAAAAATGTTCTGGCATGTTTCAGGGTATTCAAACGGTTGTCTTCCAAAGAGGCAACTCCATCAATGGAAATGAACCGATGTATGGGGCCTATGAAGAGGGAGCTGGAAAGGAGGGTTTATTCCAACATCGTTGATGACTCTTGGGTTTACACTGGTCCGCCTCCTCATCCTCCTCCTCCTCCTCCTCCTCCTCCTCCTCCTCCTCCTCCTCCTCCTCCTCCTCCTCCTCCTCCTCCTCTCTTCCGGAGGTCCTCGTGGCCACGGCTGGGCTCCTCTGGAAATTATGGTATGGACCAATCACTTGCCGAACTTGAAGTGGTCAACTCCACTGCTCGCGCAATCATCCCACCCACCCACCCGCAACTTGGCTTGCAAAACCCCTGCGGGACCGAGCACAGATATCGCTCCGGGGTCGTCTTCGAGCCCTCGGGGGCGTCTCAAGAGCGCCCCGAGAAGGCCGGAGAAGCAAGACGGCCGACGACGACGGCGACGACGACGGCGGCGACGACGACGACGCCAACGTCGACGACGACGAAGACGACGACGCCGACGCCGACGACGACGACGAAGACGACGACGACGTCGCCAACGAAGACGACGACGAGGGAGGAGGGAGGACGACGACGGCGACAACGACGACGACGACGACAACGACAACGACGACAACGAGGGAGGAAGGCGGACGGCGACGACGCGAACGACGAAGAGGGAGGAAGGACGGCGACGCCGACGACGACAACGACGAGGGAGGAGGGAAGACGACGACGAGACGACGACGACAACGACGACGACGACGGCGACGAAATAAGAGGGACGACGACGAGACGCCGACGACGGACGACGACGACGACGACGACGACGAGGGAGGAGGAGGAAGGACGACCACGGCGACAACGACGACGGAAACGACCACGACGCCAAAGAGGACGACACGACGAGGAAAGACACAGGACGACGTAGGCGACGACGACGACGCGAGGACGCGACGACGACGACGACGACGACGACGACGACGACGACGACGACGCCGCAAGAGCGCGCGCGCACGCTTTTGTTGAAAATCCGTGTTGCGAAACCTTGTGTTTTTGTAGGTTTTTTGGACGCCCGATTTTGAAATCCTTCCGAAACCGATGGGTTTTGAAGGATTTCGGCGTACGCGCGCGACGACGCGCGCGTCTGCACTTCGTCCCATTTTTTGCAGAGGATTCTCGCGACGGCACACGCGCAACGGCGTTCGACAGATTTCGGCATGCGCGCGCGACGCCCGTTTGGTAGCATGTTGTGAAAATCTTGAAAAACCACAATGGTTTTCTTAAGATTTCGCAAGAGCTCGCGCGTAAGCTTTTTTAGCAAATCAGTGTTACGAAACCCTGTGTTTTTGTATGTTGTTTGGAAACTCGATTGCGAAATCCTTCCAGTACCGAAGGTTCTTAAAGGATTTCGGCATGTGCGCGCGACGACGCGCGCGTGTGCACTTCGTCCCATTTGTTGCAAGGGATTCGTGAAAAATGGCTATGTTAGAACCAAAAATGTCACCGCATTGTGTTTTTTACAAGGGAACCTCAGGGGGGGGGATACCGGTTGGCCGGGGAATCTGTAAATTAAATTAGGATGGACATGTGGTCAGAATCATATGTGATCTACATACCCGAAAGGGGGGGGGATAACGCCGGGGGGAGGTAGAGTCTATTCTCTTTTTAGTCACTTGCCGAACTTGAAGTGGTCAACTCCACTGCTCACGCAATCATTCTCCCCACCCACCCACAACTTGGTTTGCAAAACCCATGCGGGACCGAGCACCGATATCGCTCCGGGTTCGTCTTCGAGCCCTCGGGGGCGTCTCAAGAGCGCCCCAAGAAGGCCGGAGAAGCAAGACGGCCGACGACGACGACGACGACGACGACGGCGACGACGACGACGGCGGCGGCGACGACGACGCCGACGTCGACGAGGACGAAGACGACGACGCCGACGCCGACGACGACGACGAAGACGACGACGACGTCGCCAACGAAGACGACGACGAGGGAGGAGGGAGGACGACGACGGCGACAACGACGACGACGACGACAACGACAACGACGACAACGAGGGAGGAGGGAGGACGGCGACGACGCGAACAACGAAGAAGGAGGAAGGACGGCGACGCCGACGACGACGCCGACGAGGGAGGAGGGAAGACGACGACGAGACGACGACGACAACGACGACGACGACGACGACGGTGACGGAATAGGAGGGACGACGACGAGACGCCGACGACGGACGACGACGACGACGACGAGGGAGGAGGAGGAAGGACGACCACGGCGACAACGACGACGGAAACGACCACGACGCCAAAGAGGACGACGACGACGACGACGACGAACACGAGGAAAGACACAGGACGACGTAGGCGACGACGACGACGACGCGGGAGGAGGGAGGACGGCGACGACGACGACGAGGTCGACGACGACGCCGCAAGAGCGCGCGCGCGCACGCTTTTGTTGAAAATCCGTGTTGCGAAACCTTGTGTTTTTGTAGGTTTTTTGGACGCGCGGTTTTGAAATCCTTCCGAAACCGATGGGTTTTGAAGGATTTCGGCGTACACGCGCGACGACGCGCGCGTCTGCACTTCGTCTCATTTTTTGCAGAGGATTCTCGCGACGGCACACGCGCAACGGCGTTCGACAGATTTCGGCATGCGCGCGCGACGCCCGTTTGGTAGCATGTTGTGAAAATCTTGAAAAAACCAATGGTTTTCTTAAGATTTCGCAAGAGCTCGCGCGTAAGCTTTTTTAGCAAATCTGTGTTACGAAACCCTGTGTTTTTGTATGTTGTTTGGAAACTCGATTGCGAAATCCTTCCAGTACCGAAGGTTCTTGAAGGATTTCGGCATGTGCGCGCGACGACGCGCGCGTGTGCACTTCGTCCCATTTGTTGCAAGGGATTCGTGAAAAAGTGCTATGTTAGAACAACAAATGTCGCCGCATTGATTTTTTTAAAAGGGAACCTCAGGGGGGGGGATACCGGTTGGCCTGGGAATCTGTGATTTCATATTTAGGATGGACTTGTGGTCAGAATCATACGTGATTTACATATCCGAAAGGGGGGGCGATAACGCCGGGAGGGGGGGGTAGAGTCTATTCTCGTTTTAGAAAGGAGAATAAAGGAGAATAGACCCCCTGGCCTTGGGATCAGGGCGGCAGCGCTCGGCGCGTGCCCCCCCAACTTCGACCCACCACGAAACCCATCGTGGCCAGAACTGACGGCAATGCCTCCCACGCGGTGAGGACTGGGGGTGTCCTGGGCCGCCTTGGGGTTCTGCTGGGGCCGCTTGGGAGGCACAGTGGTGGCCTCTCGGGCTGTCGTCGGGCCCTCCAGTGTCCTCTTGGGCCCCTCTGGGCAGTCTTGGCCCTGGGAGCCCGGAGATATTAACATCCACTGCTCAAACCATTTCCTTCAGGATCGGAGGTGGACAAAACGCCCATTACTAAAACACCCATTGGTGAAAACGACCTGGGACCAGACCCACTGGGTACAGGCCATGAGAAATTGCGGCCGCAACATCCTCTCGAGAACCAAAGTTGGGCAATCGACTGATCGACTTGGCAGGGCGGGGGGCTATGCAGGTCTTTCGCATGGGGCCCGAGTAGATGAGGTTGTGAGATCGCACCGCATCGCCAGCGATGCATCGGCGCCGTCGGCCTGGAAAAACTCGTGCTCCACACCGATCCGCATCGCCGATGCATCCGCTATGCGGCGCGATCCGCAGGCCCCATCTACTCAACTCGGGCTCGTGGGCGGAAAACAGATCCGTATCCGCGGCCTCGCAGGCTGGACCCCTGGGCCGCGACCCCGCGGGTAGCAGGCGTGTTCGCTCGCGGATGCCCCGCGCGGAACGTCTCCGTGCGACCGCACATCCGCGGATATGCTCACGTAGCTGGTCCTCCCAGCGCTGGGAGCCGCCAATGCGTCGAGACAAGCGCCCCGAACCGGCTGCATGCATCAAATCCCGTACCCCCCCCCCTCCCCTACTGACCACCACCCAACCCAACCCAAAAATAAAAATTTCGGATCGGGGGGGCGTACGGGATCAATCCGTGCTTTCCAGTGTTCCGCGATGCCCTCCCAACTGGGAATGGAGGTCAACTTGGGGCCTTCGGGTTGGGTCGGGGTGGTTTGGTGGGTAGTGACTTCCCTTCGTCTGCCCCCATCAAGAGGCCTCCAAGAAGGGGTACGAGTAGGTGGGGCCGAAGGATCGCACCGCATCGCCAATACATCGCCGATGTTTCGGCGATGCATCTGGGATGGTCTGGCGACGTCGGCGATGCATCGGCGACGACGTCGGCGTGGAGAAAACTGGGCTTCACATCGAGCCGCATCGCCGATGCATCGCCGATGCGCCGGCGACGCGGCGCGAATAACTCCGACCACATCCACTCCGACCCCATCTAGGAGGCCTGGACATCTGCTTCACCTCCGACAGGGCAGGCTCCTTCCCAAACATCCGACGTCTCGATTTTTCCGAGACACGGGCCCCCGGACCACTTCCCCGGGACAGGTTTCCCATCCCGAGTCGTTTTTTGACGGCCCCGAGGCCCGGCGAGGGCCCCGAGAGGCCGAAAACGACGCCAAACCTCCGCCTCGATTTTTGTCGACGCGCCCGAGCTGCATTCGGGCCCTCCGGGGGGACGACCTCTCGAGCGGCCGGGCCGGCCGGGTCGGCCGCGGGGCGGTCCTCTGCGGTCCCACGGCCCAGAGCAGCATCCTCAGGGTGCCGCCCGTCGGGGAGAGCCCCCGCGCCACCTCGCCGCGTGGCGGCGCCGGGCGGCGCAAAAGGCCCGACGCCCTCGGCGCCGTATCGCCTCGCCGCCTCCACTGTCGCAGAGAAGATAGGCAAATTCTCCACCACTGCTACGGACGGATCAAGATCAGGAACAACAGAGCTCCAAAGAACCTCTTGTCAAGGCCACCTACGGTAGGGAACCAGGCTCGGAGGAAGACCCCGGGAAGTGGGGTCAAGCTCGGGACAGACCGTCTCGGGAACGCATTAGATGTAGGACGGGGGAGAAGGGAGGATGAGGAGGTCCTCCTCCTCCTCCTCCTCATCATCCTCCTCCTCCTCCCTCTCCTGCCTCTGGTGGTGGTGGTGGAGGATGGGCCCATCAAAAGAATCCCACCACCACGCTGGGCAGAGAAGGTTTCGCGAACCAACTCTTCCACCCCCGCCTCCCCGTCTTTCCCCTTCGGGGAGTGGTATGCCCCTCCCAGTGCCAGTCCCCTGGGTCTGGACGGAAGGAGACCGCGAGGGGTTAGAGGGTCCGATTGCGCTGAAGATGGCCCTCTCATTGCTCCAGATACAGTCGGACTTGATTGGAGAGGACACGCGAGAGGACACAAGACCCTTCCGAGGGCCACATTGCCATAGGAATGTAGGAAGCATGGGTCGAGAGACACAGAACACAAGGGTACCCTTGATTTGGCAGGGTCGACCTACGAATCAGGGCCGACTGTACTGCGCCTCAGCTAGAACCGCGCGCGCTGAGGTTCAGCAAACCATGGTTGCGTGTCCTGGACTGCTACTGTCGGGCAGCCCGCAGTTATCCGCGTGTTGTATTTGTCCTTTCCCCGATGTGCCTTCCGCGCATTCCCCCTCTCCCCCCTGCCTCCTCCAAGCGTGCTGGAGCGACAGTTTTCCGCGGCGCATCCCATGCATGTTTCTTTCTTACGAAGAGTAGCCAGCCGCGCTCGCTTGTGCCTACGCGTCCTGCCGGATGCTTGGCTTCCTTGCCTTGCCTATGTCCTGCTAGACGATGCTGACTTGCCTTGCCAATCTCCTTCCCTCTCCCTCCGCGTCGTTGCTGGCCCGTGGAAACAGTGGGCGCATGCAGGCGCTGCAGCCCTCTGGGGAGGTGGGCGGGCCGGGACCACCATTCGGCGGAAGAGCTCCTCGGCAAACTCCACCTGCGGCACCCGCGAGCGCTCGTCGCCGCCGATGTCGCCGCCGGCCGTCTTCGTTCTCTACATTTCTGGGGTGCTTCTGGAGGTCCCTGTCGCCACGGCCAGACGCGGCCCAGAAAAACATGGACGCTCGGGCCCCGGCTTTGTGGGCAGATTCTGGTCGCACAGCGGAGCGATGCGATGAAGAGCCGGAACGACAACGAGGCAGCGTGCCTACATTGTGAGACGCTGGGAGGCGAGGCTCTCGCTTGAACTAAGCACTGCAAGGCTAGAGGGAAGAGAAAATTACTCAAGCGTTGACATTCAAACACCTGTATATCCGCCATGCCACCGTCCTCGGCATCGACATCGATGCCCCACGCACGCGGCTGCCTGTTCATCCGTGCGCGTCACGTCGCCATGGGCCACACGACCGAGAGCATGCTCCGTGAACGGTCCGGTGCAGGCTTTTATTTGCAAGCGGTTAACATCGATGATGCGGACGGTGTGTATCATGGAGGTGATGATGTTCATTGCCCGAGGGGTTCGTGCGGAGCCTTCGTGGAGGTTACGGGGCGCAACAGGGCATACGAGTCACAATTACTACGCGGCCACCTTGGAGGCGCACGTCCGAATCGAACGTATAGCACAAGCACCATCGGCATATACATATGTATATAAATATGTACTAGAACCATCGCGCGCGCTTCGCGCGCGCTCAGGTTCTAGCCCAGGCCGGGGGGGCGCTGGACGATATTGGACAACGCTCTCAAGCACAGGCGCGCGACGGCATCTGAGGAGCTTCTGGGGTGTTCCACATGCTTCGTCAACTGGCTGTTGGAGGCACCTCTTGGGTGCCTCTTGGGGGGGCGTCTGAGGGTCCCTTGGGGGCATCGGTTCTGCAATCTGAAGCCGTCATTGGCCGTCTTGGCTGCGTGGAGGCCCGACTTGAGGCCACCTGCGGCCAGATTGAGGCAATCCGGAAGCCTCCCGGGGGCCTCCTGGAAGCAGTTTTGACGCATTTGGGGCACTCTTGGGATATTTTAAAACCTCTTGGACGTTTCCCAGGGGCCTTTTGGGCCCTCGGGGAGCTTTTGGGGTCCTCGTCGGACCACTTTGGGGCCTCTTGCAGCCTCCTGTGGGCCTTGTGGGGGGACCGCTCTGCTGTTGGGTCGCGTTCCCCTTCTCGGGCCTCTCTTGGGGCTCTTGGGGCCCTCTCGGGCCGTCTTGGGCGCCTCAAGCACCGTCTTGGGGCCCTCGCGGGCCGTCTTGGGGCCCTCTTGGAGGCCTCTTCCTCTATATGGGAGCGGTATTGGAAGCCTCTTGGGCCGTCTTGGAGCATCGGGATGCCAAAAGGCAGAAAAAAAACGTCAAAGCCCAATCGTAAAACAATGTGTTGTGCCTCTTGGGGCCACCTTGGGAGATCTCTTGGAACCTCGTCGGCCCTCTTGGGAGCTTCTTGGGGGCCTCTTGGATCCGATTGGGGGCCTCTTGGGACTTCCCGAGAACCTCTCGGGGTAGAAAGCTCGGATTCTCGGTTCGTGTTTCCCTTCTTGGGCCTCTCTTGGGGCCGTCTTGGGGCCCTCTCGGGCCGTCTTGGGCGCCTCAGGCACCGCCTTGGGGCCCTCGTGGGCCGCCCAGGGCCCTCTTGGAAGCCTCTTCGGCTATCTTGGAGCTGTCTGGGAGGCCTCTTCCTCCTCCTCGTCCCCCTCCTCCTCCTCCCACTCCAGCTCTCTCTCCTCCTGATCTTCCTCCTCCTCCTGCAGCGTGTTCCGGAAGGCTCCCGCCGGAACATGCTGTGCACAAGTGCTGTCACTGCTGCCGCCACCGTGCCCTGGGTGGTGGGTCAGAGGCCTCATGGGTGTTGCTTTGGATCTCGTGGTTGGCCTGTCGGGGACGTCGTGAAGGCAGTTTCGCAGCTTCTCGGTAGCCGTTTTGGGACCGTTGTGGGGCCTCCTCGGGGCTGTTTTGTGGCCTCTGTAGGCCTTCGTTTGGGCCTCCTGGGTGCCTGTTGGGGGCATCCTGGGGCCTCTTGGGGGCTCATTGGGGCCTCCTGGGGCACTCTTCAAGCCTGAGGGTCGAATTTTGGAGTCGTGGTCCCCCTCTTGGGCGCGTCTTGGGGCCGTCTTGGGGCTCTGTTGGGCTGTCTTGGGCGACTCTGGGGCCGTCTTGGGGCCCTCTTGGGCCGTCTTGGGGCGCTCTTGGGGGCCTATTGAGCCGTCGTGGAACGTCGGACAGCCGAAAAGGCTGGAAGGCCAAAATCGTTCGAAAACCTTCGTAAACTTGACGATTTCGGCCTCTGGAAGCGCTCTGGAGAGGCGTCTTGAAGCGTCGTGGAGTGCCTTGGGGCGCCTCTCGGGCCGTCTTGGGCCTATCTTGGGCGTCCTGGAGCGGTCTTTCGGCGACTCGGGGCCCGCTTGGGCCGTCTTGGGAGCCTCTGGAGGCCCTCCTGGCCCATGGGGGGTCGGAGGCGGCGGCCTCCGAGGCCCAGGACGCGGAAACCCTTTTAAAAACACATGGAAAATGAGCCCCAGTACCCCCATGGAGGCTCTTCGGCGCTCTTGGACCGATGGGAGCTCGAAAACGCGAGAAGCCAAAAACATTGAAAAGAACATTGAACATATACGACTTTGGCCTCTCCGGGCCGTACCGCGATATCTATCAGACTTCTTGGGGTCTCTTGGAGGCCTCCTGGGAGCCTCGAGAGCCGTCGGAAGGCTGACTTGGGCTGCTCGGGAGCGTCTTGGGCCATCCTTTCGCATTCTGGGGGCTCCTAGGGGGCGTCTTGGGCCCTCCTGGAGCGCTGTGGAGGCTGCCCAGAAAGGCTGGGGCAGCAGTGCCGGGAACGTCCCCGAGATGTGGCCATATCTTTTCAGCGCGTTCCAGGAGCATCTTCCCGGAACGCGCTCGTGGCAGGGCGCCCACGTCCGAGGACGTTGGCATGGGAAACCGCAGCGCGTGATCATTCCAGCGCGTTTTGGCGAAGACCGTCCGGAACGCGCTTGGGCAAGCGCTGGGTTTGAGGAAGGCGAGTGGGAACCGTTCAGGCAGTTTGGGATGCTCGGGGCAAGAGGCGGAAGCCATCCTCAGAAGACATGCAGTCTTCCTGGAGCCGTCTTGCAGAAAACAAAAGAACAATGAGACCCTGCAGTCGTTCCTGGAGCCGTCTTGGAGCCCTCTTGGGCTGCCCTGGAGCCTGTTGGAGCCCTCTGCGGAATGGTCTTGGAGCCCGCGCCGAGGATCTGGAAAAATGTCCGGGACCATCGCGGCGGCATCCGAGGCCCGGGACGCCGAAACCCCGTGAAAACACAGCGAAAATGAGCCCCGGTACTCGCATGCGGGCAGCTGTTTTCGGGCCCCTGGGTTAGAACCATCGCGCGCGCGCTTCGCGCGCGCGCGCTCAGGTTCTAGCCCAGGCCGGGGGGGCGCTGGACGATCTTGGACAACGCTATCAAGCACAGGCGCGCGACGGCATCTGAGGATCTTCTGGGGTGTTCCGCATGCTTCGTCAACTGGCTGTTGGAGGCACCTCTTGGGTGCTTCTTGGGGGGACGTCTGAGGGTCCTTTGGGGGCATCGGTTCTGCAATCTGAAGCTGTCATTGGCCGTCTTGGCTGCGTGGAGACCCGCCTTGAGGCCACCTGCGGCCAGATTGAGGCAATCCGGAAGCCTCCCAGGGGCCACCTGGAAGCAGTTTTGACGCATCGAGGGTACTCTTGGGCTTTTTGAAAGCCTCTTGGACGTCTCCTGGTGTCCTTTTAGGCCCTCGGGGAAGCTTTTGGGGTCCTCGTCGGACCACTTGGGGGCCTCTTGCGGCCTCCTGTGGGCCTTGTGGGGGGACCGCTCTGCTGTTGGGTCGCGTTCCCCTTCTTGGGCCTCTCTTGGGGCTCTTGGGGCCCTCTCGGGCCGTCTTGGGCGCCTCAAGCACCGTTTTGGGGCCCTCGCGGGCCGTCTTGGGGCCCTCTTGGAGGCCTCTTCCTCTATATGGGAGCGGTATTGGAAGCCTCTTGGGCCGTCTTGGAGCATCGGGATGCCAAAAGGCAGAAAAAAAACGTCAAAGCCCAATCGTAAAACAATGTGTTGTGCCTCTTGGGGCCACCTTGGGAGATCTCTTGGAACCTCGTCGGCCCTCTCGGGAGCTTCTTGGGGGCCTCTTGGATCCGATTGGGGGCCTCTTGGGACTTCCCGAGACCCTCTCGGGGTAGAAAGCTCGGATTCTCGGTTCGTGTTTCCCTTCTTGGGCCTCTCTTGGGGCCGTCTTGGGGCCCTCTCGGGCCGTCTTGGGCGCCTCAGGCACCGCCTTGGGGCCCTCGTGGGCCGCCCAGGGCCCTCTTGGAAGCCTCTTCGGCTATCTTGGAGCTGTCTGGGAGGCCTCTTCCTCCTCCTCGTCCCCCTCCTCCTCCTCCCACTCCAGCTCTCTCTCCTCCTGATCTTCCTCCTCCTCCTGCAGCGTGTTCCGGAAGGCTCCCGCCGGAACATGCTGTGCACAAGTGCTGTCACTGCTGCCGCCACCGTGCCCTGGGTGGTGGGTCAGAGGCCTCATGGGTGTTGCTTTGGATCTCGTGGTTGGCCTGTCGGGGACGTCGTGAAGGCAGTTTCGCAGCTTCTCGGTAGCCGTTTTGGGACCGTTGTGGGGCCTCCTCGGGGCTGTTTTGTGGCCTCTGTAGGCCTCGTTTGGGCCTCCTGGGTGCCTGTTGGGGGCATCCTGGGGCCTCTTGGGGGCTCCTTGGGGCCTCCTGGGGCACTCTTCAAGCCTGAGGGTCGAATTTTGGAGTCGTGGTCCCCCTCTTGGGCGCGTCTTGGGGCCGTCTTGGGGCTCTGTTGGGCTGTCTTGGGCGACTCTGGGGCCGTCTTGGGGCCCTCTTGGGCCGTCTTGGGGCGCTCTTGGGGGCCTATTGAGCCATCTTGGAACGTCGGACAGCCGAAAAGGCTGGAAGGCCAAAATCGGTCGAAAACCTTCGTAAAATTGACGATTTCGGCCTCTGGAAGCGCTCTGGAGAGGCGTCTTGAAGCGTCGTGGAGTGCCTTGGGGCGCCTCTCGGGCCGTCTTGGGCCTATCTTGGGCGTCCTGGAGCGGTCTTTCGGCGACTCGGGGCCCGCTTGGGCCGTCTTGGGAGCCTCTGGAGGCCCTCCTGGCCCATGGGGGGTCGGAGGCGGCGGCCTCCGAGGCCCAGGACGCGGAAACCCTGTAAAAACAAAGGGAAAATGAGCCCCGGTCCCGCCATGGGGGGTGGAGGCACCTGTCCTGGGGCCCCCGGCCTCGCCCCCAGGGATATATATCTATATATATATATATATATATATATATATATATATATATGTGTACAGACGTGTGTATGTACGTATATGCATACATCTACATACACTGCTACCCAAGGGTGTGGTGGCCAGAAAGCACCAACCACTGAGGATACACTATCGGACTTCTGAGTGCGCGCGTCGCCCCCGGGGGGCCGACGCGCACATGGTAGATGTGCTGGTGATGCCGTGCGTAGACCGGGGAATGTGCCCTCACCCTGGCGCTGGGCAGCTCGCAGCCAAAACCACTCTGGACATCCGCCAGTTCGATTGTCTCGTAGGCCGCTTGATCTCTCGCCCCCCGCCGCACGAGGGTCAGGGCCGGGGGGAACTCGGTGATTTACCGCTGGCCCCCGCCGACGACGGCGAGGGTGGGCAACCACGTGAATTGAGCAGGGACCCACCGTCCCGGCATTCCTATAGGCCTACCACGAAGTGTTCTCAGAACCCCAAGATGCTCTCAGAACGATAGCAATGTCCTTAGAACATAAGCCCGACGTGTTAAAACAAACCAGTCCCAGCCAAACATGCTCTGAGAGCGTCCCGCGCAGGCCATAAAAGAAAGGTGATTAGCACATGACTCGGTGGGCCTACAGGCGCTATTGCCGAGAGCGAGCCACGTGCGGGGCTGGCGACGACCGACTCAGAGCCGACCTTGGAGATTGGTCCGACCTCCCTGCAGCTGCAGGTGGGGGGGGGACGGCAAAGAACATCGAGCACCTGCGCGCACCGTGCGCCCAGGAGCACCGAGCGACCCGCCTGGCGGGTCCGCGCGCCTGGCGCCCCCCACGGTGACCACTGAGACGCCCGCGGTGCGACCAGCATGGTGTCCTTCGTTGCGAGCGAACAGTCTCATAGAACAGCAGCGCCATATTGGTGGCGCTCGAGCGTCGAAAATACATTCTACACGGAAAAATCAGTGGACACCGTAGTGGTCACACGCAAATTTGGGGCGTACGCAAGCGAAAAGCCAGTTTCCCTTCGCCTCCATCCTTCTTACTCCTCCTCTCCCTCCTCTCCTCCCTCCTCCGTCCTCCCTCCTCTCTCCTTCCCTCACAAGCACCTCATCCTTCTCCTGATCCTCCTCCTCCCCCTCCTCCTCCCTCCTCCTCCTCCTGCTCCTCCTGCTCCCCCTCCTCCTGCATCGTCCTCCTCCTCCTCCTCCTCCTCCTTCGTATTGTCGTCGTCCTCCTCCTAAGCACCCCCAAACCCGCGATGCACATCACAGAAACCGCGATCGATGCACATCACGATTGCGACAGCCTCTGAGTGGGAACGCCTTTCTGTAAACCCCCGCAGGCCGGGTCTATGGAAAAACTGGTTCGTCGCGAGCTCTTCGCAGCGCGAGGACGTCAGGACCCCCCAGCCGATGGACAGAATGCTGCACCACCCGCGCGACTGGGGTGCCGGAGCAAACTTCAACGCGCCCCCCTCGCCCCCGATTCGATGCCAGTTGGCATCGCCAGCGGGGCGCAGGATTTCGGCCAGTCGAGAGATCGACACAGCGCGGCGCAGCCCGCCAGCACTAAATTGGGGGGCGCGGGGGGTGTTCACACAAATCAGCGTAAACAACGCAAGGCTTCGTCCATCAGCCGCCCCTGCCTCCGCCCGGCCTCCCCTCCGCCCACTCCGACCCCGCCGCCCCTAGGGGCCTCCCAGACGGGGTCCGACTAGATGGGGTCGGACGATCGCGCCGCATCTCCATTGCATGGCCAATGCATCGGCAACGCATCGGCGTTGTCGGCGATGCATCGGTGCCATCAGCGTGGAGAAGTTCTAGCTCCGCATCGAGCCGCATCGCCGATGCGTCGGCGATGCGGCGCGATCCTCCGACCCCATCTGGGAGGCCTGGACCCCCCGCCCTCCCGCGAGGCACGGTGTCGGCAAGGGGGGGGGGCGGGGAGGGGGCGCACCTCCTGCGGCTGCGCCTGCGCGCAGGCGCGGAGCAGCTGGTTGAACTGCACCTCGCGGGGGGAGGAGGAGGAGCAGGAAGAGGAGGACGAGGAGGACGAGGACGAAGTGGAGGAGGACGAGGAAGAGGAGGAAGAGGAGGAGCGAGCGAGCGAGCGAGCGCGGCGGCGGTACAGGCTCATGCGGCGAATCGCGCGTGCCTGCAGATATCTTCGTGGCTGCAAGCCTGAAGCTGGAAGTCGGAATGTTGAGGTGGTGTCGGGAACTGGATTTCTGCGGCTGGGTGCTGGCTGGAGGTCAATCTTTTTGGGTAGAAAATAGGAAACGAAGTGCAGGCGTCTGAAACTGGAGGGTGGAAGGGGAGGAAGAGGACTATCGCAACTACTGAAGGTCTTGTCTGATTACATTACTGGCTGCTGCGGCTGCTGCTGCTGCTGCTGCTGCTGCTGCTGCTGCTGCTGCTGCTGCTGCTGCTGCTGCTGCTTGGAACCCCAAACCATGTCTGCGCATCGCGGATGAACATTCCGAGAATGATGGGTTCGGCGAAAACCACTGGGCCAGACTTCCCGTGATCTCGTAGGCAGTTTAAAGCTGCAACGTTCCTATCGCTGGAACGGGCGCGGGGACAGGGTTTCTGGAAGCCTCGTGTCATAACAGGAGGAAGAGGAGGAGGGAGAAAGAAGAGGAGAGAGGAGGGGCCCAGTGACTGTGGCTTTTGGGAAGGTTCCCGCTTATACGCTGCCCTCCTCCCTTCTGCGAGTGCCTCCGACATTGAGGCTCTACGGACCTTCACAGACAGAGAGGCCCCGCGTGCAGCGCCAAAGGCGCTGCCCTTGGGGTACGGGGATGCGCCTGCAGGCGTGCCTGCTGGCAGCGAGGAAGGGGATCAGGGAGGGAGGCAGAGGGAGGAGGCAGAGGAGGAACATGTGCCGAAGAGGGATGGGGATTGCCAAGTCTACCACACGCGTGAAGGCCACACCACAAACCCGTGGTCAGGCATGCTCTAGGCGGTCTAGGGCCAGCGCCCGGGAGTCTTCTGGACCCGCCTGCCGTTAAAATGTCCCTCCTCGCTCGCACCGCTTCTGCCATAATATAAATGACGTCTGGCTCCAAAGTCGCCCCCACCTCGATGTGCAACGCCATGTCCCGCTACCCCTGGTCGCCCTTGTCGTACGCGGTGATCCCGGCATTGCAGGAGGCACAGACCGCGTTGTCAAATGGCCCGTGCCCTCTGTAGTGTCTCGAGCATTCCGTGCATGCGCTGATGGCGTTATCCTGCCGCGGATATCCGCGCGCGTTTTCAGCAACGACAGAGCCTTATGCTGTTGTCTGTCTTGCTCGCACGCTCTGGCACCACCGTTGTAGCTGACGGCAATCCGACCCAACGTCGGATCATTGTCCTGCCTCGTCGTGCTCGGTACCAACTTCGCCTCCCATCATCGCGCTGAGCAGCGACAGCCCCCACTTTCACTGACCGAGTTTCTCGCGAACCGTGGCACATGGTCTTTGGCCTATAGCTTCGCCTCACGCGTCTCGTGGGGCAACGACCCCGCCTGCTGCCACAGCTCGCACATCTCGCTGAGCAGCGCCAGGACCCGCTGCCACTGCTCGCTCTTCTCGCACGCACGGACTCCAGCGTTGTAGCACACTTGTGTGTGCCCACAGGTGGAATACACGAGCAACTTGCTGCAGAGCTAGCTATGCTGGAGCTTAACCCCACAGGGTCTTTTGACCCCCCCCCCCCAATAGTGCGCAAATGTATGGTTGTCCCGCGGGCTTGTTGACGGACTGGGACCCCAGCAATAATGGAACATTGTTTTTTCCTTGTGGAACTCGGGCCCCACGGGGAGGGAGGGAACCCGCGAGGACCGTGAGAAACTTCATCCTCGATTTATCCATCCTAAGGAAAATGTACGACTGCCTAAGGAGAACGCAAGGACAACCTAGGAAAACCGAACGACAACCTAAGGAAAACCGAAGGAAAACCTAAGGAACATTTAAGGAAAACCTAAGGAAAACCTGAAGAAAACCTAAGGAAAGCCTAAGGGGCACCCAAGGAAAACCTAAGGACAACCTAAGGAACACCTAAGGAACACCTAAGGAAAACCTACGGGAAACTTAAAGAAAACCATAGGAAAAAACCTAAGGACAACCTAAAGAACACCGGAGGAAACCCGAAGGAAATCCGATGATAAACCCAAGGAAAACCAAAAGAAAACCTAAGGAAAACCTCAGGAAAACCTGAGGAAAACCTAAGGAAAACCGATGGAAAACCTAAGGAACACCTGAGGAACACCTACGGAAAACCTAAGGACAACCTAAGGAAAACCGATGGAAAACCTAAGGGACACCCAAGGAAAACCGAAGGAAAACCCAAGGAAAAAACCAAGGAACACCTAAGGAAAACCTAAGGGAAACCTACAGAAAACCGATGGAAAAACCCAAGGAAAACCTAAGGAAGACCTAAGGACAACCTAATAAGGAAAACCTAAGGACAACCTAAGGAAAACCTGAAGAAAACCTGAGGAAAACCTACGGAAAACCTAAGGAACACCTAAGGAACACCCAAGGAAAACCTAAGGACAACCTCAGGAAAACCTAAGGAAAACTTAAGGAAAACCCAAGGAAAACCCAAGGAAAACCCAAGGAAAAACCCAAGGAACACCTAAGGGAAACCTAAGGGAAACCTACAGAAAACCGATGGAAAAACCCAAGGAAAACCTAAGGGAAACCTAAAGAAAACCAAAGGAAAAGCCTAAGGACAACCTAAGGAAAACCTAAAGACAACCTAAGGAAAACCTGAGATGCCCCGCCCTCAGCAGCTCCCCCCTCGGAGCCCCCCCCCGCGAGCTCCTCCCTCAGGAGTTCCTCCCTCCGAAGCCCCCCCCTCCGAAGCCCCCCCCTGAGAAGCTCCCCCCCCGGGAGCTCCCCCTTCAGAAGCCCCTCCCCCAAAAGCTCCTCCCTCCGAAGCTCCCCCTTCAGAAGACCTTCCCTTCGAAGCTTCTCCCTGAGAAGCTCCTCCCTCCGAAGCCCCCCCCTTCAGAAGCCCCCCCCTCAAAAGCTCCCCCCCAAAAGCTCCCCCCTCCGAAGCTCCTCCCTCAGAAGATCCCCCCTCCCCTCCCTCGGAAGCGGCGCCGAGGGGCCCCAGAGGAGCTTCAATTTTTGCTCAAGCCGCCGATGGGGCCTCAAGGGGCGCGTGTCATCGCTCAGCGCGCAGCGCTCAGCGGCCCAGAGCGGCGCGAAGCTCGCGGGCGGGCCTCAAAAAAAACCGGATTGGCCTCAAACCGCCTCAGAACCTTAGAGCGCCTCAGGGGGGGCCGCAGAAGAGGGGCCTCGGAACGCCTCAGAGCCTCAGCGCGGCGTGCCAACGTTCACGTCGTCAGCCTGCGCCCGGGTGCCCTCGGCCTGCGCGCCCTCGCCCGGGTAGAGCTCAGCCCGGAGCTCACGGTGCCTCGCCGCAATCCTCATCTGGATGGCGTTCTGAATGGGCTCAACGAGTGCATGGAGCTCAGGGCCGAGCCAGAAGACCTCACCAATCAGCTGCTGGTGCGGGGGCTCAGCGGTGTAGAGCCCATCAGTGTTGAAGCGCAGGAGCTGCTCAGTTGCCGGGGCCGCGAGCTTGTAGCAGACGTGCTCCGCCTCCTCAGCAATTTTCAAGTAGGACCATCGCGGCATTCTCCCTCATCTTGGGATTCCGCGCGCTCGACCACAAGTGGCGCCTCGGGGCCTCCCACATGAGCACCCTGGCCGCGGCTTGGACCCTCTCATGCACGAAAAAAACTGCGGCACGACAAAGAGCGGGAAGCACCTCACCCAGTAGGTTGCCAAGTCCCTCAGCTGTCTCACGGGCCAGGTGGCGTCGCCCCTATAGTCGAACTCACGGAATTGCTCCATCATCAGGCGGCAGACCTCGTGGCTCAGGGGATAGCCCTTCATGGCGCGGAGCTCAAGGTGGCCCATCTTCTCAGCCGAGTACCCGACGCTCTCAGCCGCCCACGCCAGGTCCTCAGAAAGCGCTGGCACGGGGGCGGCCATCTCTGGATATCTCAGGTGGGCGCAGGTGCTCAGCTGGAGCTCACGTGGGCTTGGACCTCAAAAAGGCTGCGGGTTGTTAGTTTGTGGTTTGTTTCGTACAATCAAAACGCGTAGTAAAGACAGGTGGTAAGGACGCAAGACCCTGGGAGGCCGAAGTCGCGATTCTTCTGCAAGGGAAGCGCTGCAGGACGGGCCGCAGAGGCAAGGATGCAAGGGTCGCGTGTCCGCACTATGCGCGTTCACTGGAGCTCCTACCGCCCTCAGAAACTGATCCTCAGAAAACCCGTAGTAACCTCCAGCAATGGCTTGCCCCGCGCCCATCCTCAATGCTGCGCTCCTCAGAAAATATGCTCTACAAGCGCCGCCCTCACAAACTGCTGCCTCGGAGAGGCTGCTGAATATAAGCTATCAGGCCCCACTAGGGCCCCGCGGGAACTCACCAAAGACACTACGCGGGGTTGTTTTCCAGGACAAAGAACCACCCACCAATACCCAGCACGGAGACCAATTACGGGAATCGAATCCTGGCCGAGCGGGCAGGGAGGGACTCATTGGACTGATGGGTCAGATTGGACTGATGAAGACTGCTCGGGTTGATTGGCAACGACTGGACTGATTGGGATGATGGGGACTGTTTGGGATGATGGGGACTGATGGGGACTGACTGGATTGATTTGGACTAACTGAAACTGAACAGCGATTCGAGACGGAGCGATCTTGTACTACGTGCCTTGCACGAACAGGCTCCGGAAAAAAAAAAAAAAAAAAAAAAAAAAAAAAAAAAAAAAAAAAAAAAAAAAAAAAAAAAAAAAAAAAAAAAAAAAAAAAAAAAAAAAAAAAAAAGCGTGTAGGGTAGCCCACGCGGGGTTGCTTTCCAAGAGAAAGAACCACCCACCAATACCCAGCACGGCAAACAATATCGGGACTCGAATCCTGGCCGAGCGGGCAGGGCGGGACTGATTGGACTGATGGGTCGGATTGGACTGATGGGGACTGATTCGGTCGATTGGCGTTAACTGGACTGACTGGGAAGATGGGGGCTGATTGGGGCGATGGGGACTGATGGGGGCTGACTGGGTTGATGTGGACTGACTGAACATGAGCAGCGACCTGAGACGGGGCGATCTTGTACTACGCGCCTTGCACGAACAGGCTCCGAACCCCCCCCCCCCGTGTAGGGTAGCCCACGCGGGGTTGTTTTCCACGAGAATGAACCGCCCACCAGTACCCAGCACGGCGACCAATTACGGGAATCGAATCCTGGCCGAGCGGGCAGGGAGGGACTCATTGGACTGATGGGTCAGATTGGACTGATGGGGACTGATCGGGTTGATTGGCATTGGTTGGACTGATTGGAGTGATGGGGACTGCTTGGGACGATGGGGACTGATGGGGACTGACTGGATTGATTTGGAATGACTGACACTGAACAGCGATTCGAGACGGAGCGATCTTGTACTACGCGCCTTGCACGAACAGGCTCCGAGAACCTCCTCCGTGCAGGGTAGCCCACGCGGTGTTGTTTTCCAGGACAAAGAACCACCCACCAATACCCAGCACGGAGACCAATTACGGGAATCGAATCCTGGCCAAGCGGCAGGGAGGGACTCATTGGACTGACGGGTCAGATTGGACTCATGGGGACTGATTCGGTTGATTGGCATTGATTGGACTGATTGGAATGATGGGGACTGTTTGGGATGGTGGGGACTGATGGGGGCTGACTGGATTGATTTGGACTGACTGACACTGAACAGCGATTCGAGACGGAGCGATCTTGTACTACGTGCCTTGCACGAACAGGCTCCGAAAACCTCCCCCGTGTAGGGGAGCGCACGCGGGGTTGTTTTCCACGAGAAAGAACCACCCACCAATACCCAGCACGGAGACCAATTACGGGAATCGAATCCTGGCCGAGCGGGCAGGGAGGGACTCATTGGACTGATGGGTCAGATTGGACTGATGGGGACTGATCGGGTTGATTGGCATCGATTTGACTGATTGGAATGATGGGGACTGCTTGGGATGATGGGGACTGATGGGGACTGACTGGATTGATTTGGACTGACTGACACTGAACAGCGATTCGAGACGGAGCGATCTTGTACTACGCGCCTTGCACGAACAGGCTCCGCAAGCTAGCAGGAGCGACTCCGCCCCGGCCTGGAACTCAAAGAACAAGTCAGCCTTATCTACGAAGCGCCCGTGCGAACGCTCAGCCCCCAACCAATCCTTCACGCCTGCGTAGACCTCAAGGAGCTCATTTTTCCGACCACCTCCTTTGGCCCTCATTCCCGCGGCGGCCCTCGTCTTCCTGTTCTTCTTCACGTGGCCGGACTTCATCAGCGACCCGCGACTCCCAGCTCCAACCTCAGCCTCGTCAACGGCCCCCTTCCACACGCCACGGTTGTTCCAGGCGTGCTTCACCCACCTCATGCTCCTGCCAGCGTAGTCCTTGATCGCTCTCAGGACAGTGGCCTCATCTCGCACGTCTTTCAGGACCTCCTCGATGTGCAGACACATGCAATGCTTCGCCCGACGCCCAACCTCTCGGCACTTGCTTACCACGCACTCCCTCGCTGCTGCAAGCATGTTTGTCTCAAGCAACCGCTGAAGCTCAGGAATCTGCACTCGAGGCCTATTCGGGCGCCTGCCGCCTCTCACGCCATACTCACCAGCAGGCGGAGAGCTCACCGCCAGAACCTGGCTTTCCTTCTCAGGCGTCTTGTAGGGATTGTGCTCCTCGCGCATCCGGGGCGCCGCCCCACCGCCCTGCGCCGCGCCCGTCAGGGGAAGGGCCGGCCCAGGCGCAGCACCTGGTGGGCCCCTTTTCCATCACCACTACTATAAATAGGATGGGGAGGGGGAGGGGGGAGGAGGGAGGCCCCCCACCTAACTCGGGAGGGGGCGGAGGGAGGAGGGGGCCCTCCACTTCACTACGGCCAGGGGCGTTTCGGCGGGCAGGCCTCTCCTCCACCCCCTCCCCCCCCCCCCTGGCCTCTCCTCCACCCCCTCCCCCCCCTCCTCCTACTCCTTCCCCTCCGACTTATGGTAGTGGTCATGGAAAATGGGCCCATCAGCACCGCTCAGACGGTTCTCCAGTTCACTCACGCGCTGCAGCAGCTGGGCGGTCAGCGCGCCGTGGCTCACGACGGGCAGCCTCGCCGCGGACAGAACCTCCTCGGCGCCACCGACCAGCGCGTCCTCGGGCCGGGCCCTCGGCAAGGGCGGGCGCCCAGGACCGCGCTTCACCTTCTCAGGCACGGGGCGCCCGAAGAGGTCGAGCTGGCGGCTCACCCTCGGGCGTTTGGCCTCAGGGCCGCCGTCGTCGTCGTCGCCGCCGTCGTCGTCGCTGGCGTCGGCGTCGTCGTCGCCGCCGTCGTCGTCGCCGCCGTCGTCGTCGCCGTCGTCGTCGCCGTCGTCGTCGCTGGCGTCGTCGTCGTTGTCGCCCCAGGGGGCTCGGCGGTCACAGCGCCGCCCTGGGCCTCCGCGCCACCGGCGTCGACCTCAACGATCTCGCCGCCGCCGTCGGCCTCCGCGCCGCGCGCGCCGCCGTCGCCGCCGTCGTCGTTGTCGTCGTCCGTCGTCGTCGTCGCCTCAGGTGGGACGTTCGGCCCGTCCTCAAAGAGCTCGTCCAAGACCGCGCCCTCAGCGCCATCCTGGTCCTCGCGGGGGCTCACGCCTGACGGCACGTCTGCCGTCTGGGGGGGCTCAAAAGAACCTCGAGGCCTCAGGTTGTGTTGGAGCGCCCTGAAAGGAAGTTCGTTGCTGACGCCTCAAAGAGCTCGAGACTCACGTGGCTGCGGGGGGGGCAATAGTGAGCGGGGGGGCAATAGCGAGGAGGAGGAGGAGCAGCAAGGGAAGATGTACAAAGCCCAAGCGGCTAATAGTGCGAAACTAATTCCTGGGCGGCCCTCGTACCTCAGGCAGGAGCGTCCTCAGTCCTCGTAGCTTGCGGTCCTCAGTCCTCGTAGCTTGCGGTCCTCAGTCCTCGTAGCTTGCGGTCCTCAGTCCTCGTAGCTTGCGGTCCTCAGTCCTCGTAGCTTGCGGTCCTCAGTCCTCGTAGCTTGCGAGAGGTCCTCAGTCCTCGTAGCTTGCGGGAGGTCCTCAGTGGGGGGAGCGAGAGGGAGCGAGGGGGGAGGACGGGGGGAGGGAGGGGGGAGGACGGGGGGGCGCGGAGTTTTATTCCCCGGAGAGAGAACCAGGGGGGGGGGGGGGGCCCTTTTTCTAAAGACCCTACCGGGTTACTGCCGCTGCTGCTTGCAGGTTACGCTGGCTGCTGGCTGCTGCCGCTGCGTGCCAACGATCGTTCCTCCGGGCTGCCGCGGCGGCCAGCTCTGCCTCTGCTGGCCCCGCTGCTTGCCTTCTGCGCTTGCGGGCTGGTCCGGTCTTGCCGTTCTCTATTCGGGGCTGTCTTGAGCGTACTGCTGCTGATTGCTGGTGCTTGCCTCTCTTGGCTGTTGCCAGCTCTTCGGCTGCTGTCTCGGGTGCCTGCTTGCTGCGATGGCCGGCTCGTCCTGGCCTGACGTCGACGCGGGAGCCTTTTTTGGCCGTCTTGGGCTCTTTGGGGGCCCTCTCTTTGGAGCCTATCGGGGCCCTCTTCGGGTTCCCGAGGAGCCTGACAGGGGTCCTCGCGGGGTCTGTGGGGGCCTGGGAAGGTCAAGGTGCCATCTGTTGGCGGCGCGCAGAGGGGGGGGGGGAAGGGGGAGAGGGAAGGCTTCTTAGAAGGAGGCTGCTTCTTAGAAGGCGCCGGCCGTACATCTATAGATAAGGCCTGCGCCTTCTGAGAAGCAGCCTCCTTCTAAGAAGCCTTCCCCCCTACCCCTACCTGAGACGAAACCAGGATGAGGAAAAGTGCGGTAAGGATACATCAAGAATATCCGAGATCTGGCGGCTCTGGAGGATGTCTAGGGCGCCGTGGCCTTCTCAGAGCGTTCCGGCACGCTCTGAAAGCGTTCCAGAACACTCTGGAACGGATTTATCCTCGTGTCCGAGCCCCGTCCGACATTCCCCAGGACCGGTCTTCCATCCTGGCAGTCTGTTGACGGTCCCGGGGCCCAGTAACCGTCCCCAGTGGCGGAGAAAATAGCGAAACCACTTCCGTCGTGACTGTTTGTCATGACTCGAGGGATCTGGGTTACGGCGGGGCCCAGAATCGACTCCTGGAACGGATCTATCCTCGTCCTGGCCCCGTCCGATTGAATATCGTTTAACCGATCCCCATCCCCAGCAACGCAGCCTGGGCCCCACTGGCCGATTTGCCCCCCTAGCTGGGGATATCGGTCGTTCTCTTCGGGTTTCGAGGGGTGCATCCCCCAACCGGGGTGGTAATTTGGTGGGGGTCTCAAAAGGGATGGAGGTGGGGATGGGGATCGGTCTTCTTGGAAGGAGGCTGCATCGCAGCAGGCGCCAGCCCTACATCGCAGAGGGCAACTGCAGGGAAATCTTCGTCCGAAAGCAAGGAGGAGCACGCCCAATTGGAGGGCTGCTACGAGCGGGAGCAAGCCGGATTAAGCCGGATTCAGCGGGATTAAGCCGCATTAAGCCGGAGTTCGGACCAGGGCAAAATCAAAATGTGACCTCCCAGGAGTTGCATCCGAATACATCTACCCTGAGATCCTGGCGAACCATTTTTTTCGCAACGAGCGTTGTCGCCCCGTTTCAGGGCCCCCGGGACCCTCACAGATCGAGCCGGGCTCGAAAAGTGACGCAGAAAGACAGGGTTTCTAGGTCTCTGGTCGTGACTGCTTGCGATGTTGCATGTTTTTCGCAACGTCGGATCTCAGGGTATAGACAAGGCATGTGCCTTCTCAGAAGCAAGGGGTGTTTGTAAGAAGCCTCCCTCCCACTCCCCCTGACCCCCCCTCTGCGCGTTCGCGAACAGGAATCGAGGGTGTGGGAATATCCTGGTTGTGAGACGTTCCAATCTCGGGTCGGGGTCCTTTCGCGGAGCCATCTTCAGGCCTCCTCGGGCCACATTGGTGCCACCTTGAGCCGTCCAGGGGCGTCCTTGCACTTGTTTGGGGCCCTCTTGGGGGGCTCCTTTGGCAAACCTCGAGCGCTGCGGGAGCCGCACGAGGCCGTTTGTGGCCGTCGAGGTGTCCAGCTGAGGCCGAGGGGGCCTTGCCACCCCCTTTCCGCTCGACGGCGCTGGTCCAAGCGCTGTAGCACAGATGGCGTCGGGCTCCAGCTTCGCCTCCCGCATCTCGCTGAGCAGCGCTAGGGCCCGCTGCCACTGCTCGCTCTTCACGCACGCGCTGATCCCACCGCCGTAGCTAATGACGTTGGGTTCCATCTTCGCCTCACACATCTCGCTGAGCAGCGCCAGAGTTCGCTGCCACTGCTCGCTCCTCTCGCACGCGCTGATCCAAGCGCTGTAGCTGACTAATGCGAGCCCGTGGATGAGATCTACGGGCTGGCCAGAACCACTCTGGATCAGAAGTGCGGTGGCATGGCAACGAAGATGGATAAGAAAGGCGGCGGCCGCGCTACACATGCCAGGATGAGCAGGAAGAGCAAACTGAACAGGCGGGGGAAAGTAAAGTAGACATGGAGGGGCGATTGAACAAACAACCATGAGCGGGACACATCATAACAGGAAGAGTAATGAGATCAAGGATGAAAGGAGGCGGAGCAGCAACAGGATTACAACAAGGTGGCGACGGGGAGGAAGGTGAGATGGAGCTGCCTAGAACCTCCTGGAAACGCCTCCAAATTGCGCCAACGCGCTCGGCCATACCGTAATCGAGCTTGAAAGGGCCGCAAGAGGATCCCGAGGAACCTGGTAGGCGCCCAAAGGCGCCCACAGAGGATCACCCGAACCTCGCAGAACGACGAGCGGCAGACAGCGCCAGGCACCCCAGAGTGCCGACGCGAACGCGCTGATCACGCCACTGTTGCATAGATAAGGTTGGGCTCCAACCTCGCCTCCCGCATCTCGCTGAGCAGCGCCAAGGCCCGCCGCCACTGCCCGGCACTCTCGCACGCGCTGATTCCAGCGTTGTAGCTGAAGTGTGTACGCCTAGGTCGGGCATGTCCTCCTACAGGCGGATTCTGGAAGAAACTGAACAGATAGTCAAAAAGCATCGTCGAAACTAGTTTTGAAAAGCACAAAAAACAACAAAAAAAAAAACAAAAAAAAAGTTCCCACACTACTCTTTCACTATTTTGGGATCTGTCTCCTGCAGAGGGACGTACCCACCAGTCGGGCACGTGCACTTCAGTCGGGCCCCGACTTGGGGCAGGTCCGCAGGCGCCCTGGCAGGGGAACGCGGCGGGGCCGGCGGGCGCCGAGAGCCTACGCTCGACCAGGATAACCTGTAAGATGCGCGGTAAGGATGCCAGGGCCTCGGAACGCCCTGTTGACGTTTTCCGTGCGGAGCGCAGCAGAATGCCGAAGGATGCCGAATACCGAAGGGGCAAGGATGCAAGGGTAGCCTTGGCAAGTTGCCCCGTCCTTACTATCATGGTTGACTGTATTCGCCGACAGGCGTCGTGGACGGTGCCGCCGAGGAGCCTGGCGGCCCCAAGACGGCCCCAAGAGGGCCCTCAAAAAAAGCACCCGACGGATGCTGCCTGTGGACCTCGGGCGTCTCGAAGAAATCGAAACGGATTTTTGTTGTGTTTTCGGCCTCGGGGGGCCCTCGCCGCGCGTCGGGACCGTCAAAAAACGACTCGGGATGAAAAACCGGTCCCAAGGAAGGGGTCGGGAGGTCGGGGGCCCGTGTCTCGGAAAAATCGAAACGTCGGATGTCTGGGTACAGCGAGGGGGCACGTTGTAGCATATGTTGGGGGGCCTCTTCGGGCTCTCTGGGAGGGCTCCTGGGGCCGTCTTGGGACGCACCCGTGGCTCCTAGTGAGCCATCTCTCCTAGTGAGCCATCTCTGGGCCATCTTGTGTCGTGCGCCTCTTGGGCAGTCCTGGGGTTTTCTTGGGCCGTCTTGGAGCCCTCTTGAGAAGGCGCCCTGAAGTTCTCTTAGGGAGCCGCTTGGGCCGGTTCGGGGCGATCTTAGGGGCTGCTGGGCCGTCGTGGACGCTGAACAATGTTGGAAAAGATATATAGTTTGATAGCCTTAGATTTTACACCAAGAGGCCCTGCTGGGACTGCTCATAGAGCGCTCTGAGGGCCTGTCGAAAGCTTTTCGGACGTATGGAGACTGTCTTGGGCTTTCGATCAAAAAAACGGGTTTTCCGCGATATGATTTTGTGACCTTACGCGGAGGCTTAAGCGGGCCGCCCGCGCGACACGCCACGTTTGAAGCGAGGGCGCTTACGCGCGACCTTACGCGGGCATCTTACGCGCCAACGTCGGCGCAGACGACCCCGTTTTTGTCCGTCGCTCGTATGGGACCATTTTGAATACATCCTCGATCTTCGGCGAACTTGGAGGCCTGGGAGGCGGAGGCCCTCCCGGCGGGAACTCCCGGCGCCCAGCTCTGCCACGCTTGGCACCTTCCTCGCGCTGCCCCCGGCATTGTAGGATCGACTGGGGCGAACCCGTGGACTATGTCCACGATGGCCTTTCAAAGAAGTTCGCGGGGTCCAGGCGGCGACGTCGCTACGCTGCAGTCATGATGACGATGGGCGGCGTACTTTTCGCCGCCGTCTCCGCGCCTCTCTGGGGCCAGAGCACCTCGGGGACTGCAACCCCAGGAAGCCTCCCGTGCATCTCGCCTCACCAGGGCGACAGCGGCGAAGCGTGCCCTGTCGCTGCGGCGAGGACAGGGAATAAAAGCCCCCATGTTGGCGCATATGTTCCTGATCACTGCGCGGCAAAGACGTCTCCCCTGGACCGTCTGGGATGTGTCTTTGGGGTCCGCTCGGGTTCTTGAAGTCCGTGATGCAGTCTGCTCTGCCTCCAGGTCCCGAGCGTTCCCACGGGGAGCCCCGCAGGCTTCGATGACGCCCCGAAAGGCGACCAGACGCAGTCCCAGGAAGCACATGGGAGAGGTCGGTGCCGCCCAAGGGCACCAGGAATGTCATACGGTCGACCGTTTTCGGGAGCTGCGTAATGAACCTGAGGGTCAGCGAATGGGCACGCAGAAAATTGCGCACATGTCGGCCCAGAAACCCGCTGCGCGTCCCGCAAAAAAATTGGGGCCTGTATAAAAGTGCTGGTTTGGGGGGGATCCGGGTTCGGTCGGGGGGAGCCTTGAGGGCCATCTTGGGACGGTCTTAGGCCTGGGCCGTCTTTGGGCCATCTTTGGGCCAGCAGGCCCTACGTTGGGCTCTCTGGGGGGCGGCTCAGGCCCGCTGGAGGGCTCTCGTGAGCCACTTGGGCCTTCTTGGACGCCTCTGGGTCTATTCTTGCAGCTATCTGCAGCCGACACGTGGGAGTTGAACTTGTTTCGTCAGCGGCGAGGCGGCGAACTCCGCACCAGCGAGAAGCTAGAAAGGGGCACTAACTAGCGAATTGGCCGGCAGGCACATGGAGGGGGGGGAGGGCCGAGAAGAAAAAAGGGACGCTCAGACGCCGAAGAGTTCGACGATGAGCAGCCGGGGGGGGGGGGGGCAGCAGCAGCAGCAGCAGCAGCAGCAGCAGCCAAGCGCGCAGGGCCAGAGCACCACGGTGGCAAGGGTGGCGGGAGGGCGGCTGCCAGCAGCTGGAGCTGGCGGGCGGGCGCAGTGGGACACCACGAGCGACAGAGGCTCACGAGGCACCGCGGCGCGCCGAGGAGAAGGCACAGCACTGAGCCGTGCGGAAGCGGGAGCATGGCAGAGGCAGAGTCGGGAGTACTGCGGCGGCCCGGGGCGCGCCAGGTGGCCAGGGGGCCCGGGAGAGGTGGGGCAGCAGGCGGCGGGCGAAGCGCCCCAGGCGCCCGCAGGCGGCGGGGCGGAACAGCAGCGCAACGGGAGGAGGCAGCGCGGGGCTGCCGCTTGTGGGGAGTAGAACAGATAGATGGTTTTGACTAACTTCGCCTCTTGGGGTCCCGGCGTGGAGACCTCTTGGAGCCTGTCGGAACCACAGTGGCGGCATCTTGGGGCGTCTTGTGCTGTCTTGCGAGCTGCCGGTAGCCTCTGTCGGGTGTTGCCAGGAGTACCCCTGGCCCAAGGTGCCCCCAGGATTTCCAAGGAGGCCTCCACGGCCTCCGGAGAACTCTTCACGAGGCCCAGAGGGCCCGAGGGGCTCCAAAACGGTTCTAAAAGCTAAGTTCACCTTGACCCAGGGGCACTTTTCGCAACACCCGACTTCGAAGCCTCATCCAGAAGCCCCAAAGAAGAGCTCGCTGTGACCGCGTCGGATGATTCCGGGGAAGCCCAGTGGAGGCTCCTGGGAGGTCCCGAGGCCGTTGGGGGGCTCAGAACAGCCGTTCAATCCCTAGGCCCTCCTGGTACGCAGGGGTTCCAGCATGGCAGAACAGACGGTGACAACACGAGGACAACGACGACGACGACGACGACGACGACAACGACGACGACGGGCGTTATAGATCATGTGGTCTGCTCGCAAGCTCTGATCCCAATGTAACAGATGACGCGGTCGGGCTCCGGCTTCGCCTCCCGCATTTCCTGGAGCAGCGACAGAGCCTGCCGCCACTGCCCACCCTTCTCGCACGCGCTGATCCCAGCGTTGTAGCTGACTAGGGCAGACCTGTGGACTCCGTCCACGACATCAGCTCGACGTGGCGAGGAGTCTCTGGGCAAGCGCGGGGGGGTGCGGCTGCAGGGCCGAAAGGCAATCATGATGGCGTCGGGCTCCTCCTCCTCCTCCTCCTCCTCCTCCTCCTCCTCCTTTTCCACCTTCTTCTCCTCTTTCGCTGGATTCTCCATGCCCTCGGTCGGCAATCGTCGATCCTACGACGACTCTCCCCAACAGAGAAACATCGAAGGCCCTCGGAGCGTCCAACATTGTTCTTTTGTGCCTTCGATATGCCGGTCGCCTCTCGTCCGCTCCCCCGCTCCTGGAAGGAATTCTGAAGGCACTGAAGGCTTCGTAGGGGCCGTTTCGGAGCCTCTTCGGCCTTCGTTTGGGCCTCGCGGGGGGGCTCTTAGGGCTCTCTCGGGCCGTCTTGGGTGCCTCTTGGGCCGTCTTCGGGCCATCTGAGGCCCTCCTTGGCGCCTCTTCGGCTGTCGTGGGCCGTCTTGGGCCGCTCCTGGGGCCGTCTTGGGTGCCTCTTGGGCCGTCTTGGGCGCCTCCTGGGCCGTCCGGACGCCGTCCTGCGGCGTCTTGGGACCGTCTTGGGGCCCTCCTGGCCCGTCTTGGGGCTCTCTTGGGGTCCTCTTCGGCCGTCTTGGAGCGGTCGGGGGGGCGTCTTGGGCCGTCTTGGAGCGTCGGGAAGCCGACGAGGCGAGGAGGCCGAAAACATTGACAAACACAATAGAAATCGACGATTTCTGTCGCTCGGGGCCCTCTTGGGAGGCCTCTTGGGAGGCCTCTTCGGGCGTCTTGGACGCCTCGAGGGCCTCCTGGGGCGAATCTCGGACGTCTTGGGCGCTCTTGGGCTGTCTTGGGCCGTCTTGGGCCGCTCCTGGGGCCGTCTTGGGTGCCTCTTGGGCCGTCTTGGGCGCCTCCTGGGCCGTCCTGGGGCCGTCCTGCGGCGTCTTGGGACCGTCTGGGGGCCCTCCTGGCCCGTCTTGGGGCTCTCTTGGTATCCTCTTCGGCCGTCTTGGAGCGGTCGGGGGGGCGTCTTGGGCCGTCTTGGAGCGTCGGAAAGCCGACGAGGCGAGGAGGCCAAAAACATTGAAAAACACAATAGAAATCGACGATTTCTGTCGCTCGGGGCCCTCTTGGGAGGCCTCTTGGGAGGCCTCTTCGGGCGTCTTGGACGCCTCGAGGGCCTCCTGGGGCGAATCTCGGGCGTCTTGGGCGCTCTTGGGCTGTCTTGGGCCGTCTTGGGCCGCTCCTGGGGCCGTCTTGGGTGCCTCTTGGGCCGTCTTGGGCGCCTCCTGGGCCGTCCTGGGGCCGTCCTGCGGCGTCTTGGGACCGTCTGGGGGCCCTCCTGGCCCGTCTTGGGGCTCTCTTGGGGTCCTCTTCGGCCGTCTTGGAGCGGTCGGGGGGACTTCTTGGGCCGTCTTGGAGCGTCGGAAAGCCGAAGAGGCGAGGAGGCCGAAAACATGAAAAACACAATAGAAATCGACGATTTCTGTCGCTCGGGGCCCTCTTGGGAGGCCTCTTGGGAGGCCTCTTCGGGCGTCTTGGACGCCTCTTGGGCCGCCTGGGGCGAATCTCGGGCGTCTTGAGCCCATCTTCAAGCGTGCCGGGGCTCTCCGGGGCCGTCTTGGGGGCTTCTAGGGGCCCTCCCGACATGTCCTGGAGCCTGCCTGGGCGGCCCGGGGCGGCCCGGAGCCAGCCCGGGGCGGTTTTGGTGCATTGGAGCCTGCGCCCTTCTGGCACGCACTGGGCCCTGCAATGTAGTAGAGACTAGGGCTGACCCGTGGACTCCGTCCACGACATCTTTCTGGAATGGTTCTCGGAGGAACGGCGCAGATTGTACCGAAAATCTACAAACACGGCGGCGGCTCGGGCGGCGGCAGCGAGACCGCGCCTTCGTGTCCGAGCTCTTGCAGCGCTGCAGCAGCTTGGCCCAGCGCACTGCTCGTTCACCCCCCTCCTATTGAGGACAGTTTCGAAGTCTCTCGGGGATGTGCGTCGAAGTCGAAGCCCATCTGAGGCGTCTCAGGAGCGCTCGGGGAAGGGCTCGGGAGGCCATCGGGGAAAGCCACCGAAAGCGCCGGGGAGGCTCGCAAGGATCTACAGGGAGGGCCCAAGAGAGCTTCAAGAAAATTTGAAATCCAGTGAACTCTTAAGAGAAACCGCTGTTGGGTCGGCCATCACCTCCGGGCGCGCCTTGATGGTGCGATCCAGTCGCATCACCGCCAACGGGAGGGTTTGTTCGCCATGTCCCATTCTGTTCGCCCAGAGGGTCTGTGGAGGCCTTCGGGCGAACAGAACGGGACAGGGCAAGGAATGGGGAAGACATGTCCGAATCTCCTGGGCCCCCCAGATGCTCGTCCGAAGAATGCGGAGAGGTCCCAGGGTCATATCAATTGGCTGCTGTCCCAGGGGTTCCGGTCTGCTTGGCCCGAAGAGTTTGCCAAGGCCCCTGGGGGAACAGAATGGCACAGCATATCGGGCAAAGGGGGGCGGTAGCTGGCCTGTCAGACCCGGCGTTCGTCTTCTGCCCAAGCGGCGCGGGGCCCACGGGCCCCAGGGTTGGCGTCCCGCTGGGATTCCTCTTGTTCGCCCACAGGGTTGGAGGAGGCCTCCAGGCGAACAGAATGGGGCAGGACAATGAATGTGGGAGACTTGTCGCAAGCTCCCAGCCCCCCCAAGTGTGCGCCCGAAGGGTGTGGGGCCGCGTTGGCTCCCTCAAAGGGCCGTCTTGGAGCCGTCTAGGCCCGTCTTGAGGGCGCCGTTTGCCCTGATGGGGCCGTCTTGGTTCGTCGTGGGCCCCTCATGGGCGCGTCCGTAGGCCGTCCTGGGCCCATCGGGGTCCTCGTGGGGCTGTCTTGGAGCCGTCTGGGACCGTGAGGAGGCCGCCTTGGAGTCGTCTTGGGCCCCTCCTGTGCGCCTCCTTGGGCCGTCCTGGGCCCAGCAGGGGCCGTGTTGGCACCCTCTTGGGGCTGTCTTGGAGCCGTCTTGAGCCGTCGCAGCGCGCCTTGGGTTGTGCTGGGTCCGTCTTGGCCCGTCTTGGGGCCTTCCTGGGCGGTTCCTCGGACCCTCCTGGGACTTTCTGGGGCCTCTTGGTGCATCGGACCGCCGAAACGGCGGGAAACGCAAAGGGTGTAACAGTAAACAATGGAAACTTAACGATTTTTGCCAGCTGGGACTCTCTTGCCATCTTGGCCCGTCTTGAGGCCCCGAACGGGCGCGTCCTTGGGCCGTCCTGGGCGCACCCTCCTGGGACCGTCTTGGAATCGTCTTGGGCCGTCTTGAGCGCGCCTTGGGCCGTCCTGGGCCGGTTTGGGGCCGTGTTGGCACCCTCGCGGCGAGGAAGCTCGGAGGTGGGCTCGAGGCCTCTTCGGGGCCATTTTGGAAGCTGTTGGGGCCTCTGTAGGGGCCTCGTTTGGGCTCCTTGGGAGCCTCCTGGGGCCTCTTCGGGGGATTCTTGGCGGCCCCTTGGGGCCTCTTGGGGGCCTGTTTGGGCCTCCTGGCGCCCTCTTGGCGCGGAAGGCTCGGATTTTCGGTCCGTGGTCCCCCCCTTGGCCCCCTCTTGGGCCTGTCTTCGGGCCCTCGTGGGCCGTCTTGAGCGTCTCTTGGATCGTCTTGGGGCCCTCTTGGGCTGTCTTGTGGCGCTCTTGGAAACCTCTTGGGCCGTTCTGGGGCGCTCTTGGAGGCCTCTTGGGCCGTCTTCGAGCGTCGGAAAGCAAGGCCTAAATCCTTCCAAAACCGTCGTAAAGCGGACGATTTTGAGGCCCAAAACCGTCCAAAACCTCCTGAGGCGGTCCCCTCGTCCGCCCCCCTCGCTTCGAAGCAGTTTTTAAGCCCCGTGGCACCTCTTGGGGATCTCTTTTGGGCTCCTGGGGGCCTCTTGGGCCTCCACTGGATTCGCTGCCCTCGGTCGGCAATCGTCGATCCTACGACGACTCTCCCCAACGGAGAAACATCGAAGGCCCTCGGAGCGTCCAACATTGTTCTTTTGTGCCTTCGATATGCCGGTCGCCTCTCGTCCGCTCCCCCCCTCCTGGAAGCAATTCTGAGGCCACTTAGGGCTTCGTGGGGGCCGTTTGGGGATCTCTTGGGGCGTTTTTGCCTGCGATATGCCTGTCGCCTCTCGTCCGCTCCCCCGCTCCTGGAGGGAATGCTGAAGGCACTGAAGGCTTCGTGGGGGCCGTTTCGGAGCCTCTTCGGCCTTCGTTTGGGCCTCCCGGGGGGGCTCTTAGGGCCCTCTCGGGCCGTCTTGGGTGCCTCTTGGGCCGTCTTGGGGCCGTCTGAGACCCGCCTCGGCGCCTCTTGGGCTGTCGTGGGCCGTCTTGGGCCGCTCCTGGGGTCGTCTTGGGTGCCTCTTGGGCCGTCTTGGGCGCCTCCTGGGCCGTCCTGGGGCCGTCCTGGGGCGTCTTGGGACCGTCTGGGGGCCCTCCTGGCCCGTCTTGGGGCTCTCTTGGGGTCCTCTTCGGCCGTCTTGGAGCGGTCGGGGGGGCTTCTTGGGCCGTCTTGGAGCGTCGGGAAGCCGACGAGGCGCGGAGGCAGAAAACATCGAAAAACACAGTAGAAATCGACGATTTCTGTCGCTCGGGGCCCTCTTGGGAGGCCTCTTGGGAGGCCTCTTCGGGCGTCTTGGACGCCTCTTGGGCTGCCTGGGGCGAATCTCGAGCGTCTTGGGCCCATCTTTAAGCGTGCCGGGGCTCTCCAGGGCCGTCTTGGGGGCTTCTGGGGCCCTCTGGACATGTCCTGGGGCCTGCCTGGGCGGCCCGGGGCCAGCCCGGGGCGGTTTTGAGACATTTGAGCCTGCGCCCTTCTGGCACGCACGTGCTCCTGCAATGTAGTAGAGACTCGGGCTGAGCCGCGGGCGTACGTCCACTCTAGCTCGCACGCGAGGGTGAAGTTCGCTTGCCGGTGTGCCTGAAGTCGTGCTGTCCTGCGCGCGCGTGGCCGCTGCGCGCTGCTGGCCTGCCGCATGCCGGCTGTCGCCCCGACGCGTTCCTGCCCGTGTGCTGGCCAGTGTGCCCGACATCATGTCTGCACGGCTGCAGGCTTCATCGATTGCACATCCGCTCGCTCCCGCTCGCTGCCGCTTGCTGCTGGTTGGCCCTGGTTGGTGTTAGTTGCCGCTGTGTTCTTGCTGCTGCTGCTGCTTGCCACCGCTTGCTGGTGCAGGCTGCCGCTTGCCGCGGCTTGTTGCTGCTGCTTGTCAATGCGTGCTGACGGGCATTGCTGTTTCTTGAGCTTGAGGTGATGCCTTCTGCTGGATACTGTCACTGCTTGCCGCTAGCTCTGCTTGCCTGCTGTCCTGCTCGGCTTGACAGCCCGGCACGTCGCTTGCGTGCTTGTATGTCAGCCTGCGGTCCTGGCAACGTATTGCATGCTGTTTCCCTTGCTTGTTCATCCGCTCGCTGCCGCTGATTGTCGCTTACTGTTGATGCATGATGTGTTGCTTGCTCATGTATTCTGCCGTTTGCTGTTTCTTGCTTATGCTGCCGCCCGCTGTTGCGGGCTGCTGGTTGCTAGTGCCTGGTGCTAGTTACTGGTGCTTACCTGCTGCAGCTTGCTGTGTGCTCGGGGTACAAAAGGCGTGCTGCTGCTATGCTACTGCTCGCTAATGCTGCTGCAGGTCGCTGCTGCTGCTGCTGCTGCTGCTGATTGTTGTTGCTGCTGCTGCTGGTTGGCAATGCTAGCTGTTCCATGGCGGCCGCTGCAGGCCTTGCTGCTGCCTGTGGACACGGAGGCATTGATGGGGCCAATAGCGCCAGTGGGCGCGTCAAGGGACACTGTTTGGGGCCTTCTTGGGCTGTTTTGCGGCTCTTCGGGAGATCTCTGGGTCTGGGGGGCCGTGCTGAGGCTCTTTTGGGATCGTCTTGGAGGCCAGCTGGGGCCAGCTTGGTCTATCCTGAGGGCGCGTTGGACCGTCCAAAGGACTCCAAGTCAGCAAAGAGGCCCCAAGATGGGCCAACCAGATTCGAAGAGGCTCCTCAGACCGATCTTGCAGCAGCCTCAGAAGCCAAGCATATATTCTCGCGACCCCTCTCATCAAATTCTTGTTAAGAAACTTGCAGCATTCTCCAATCAATGCTCGCACTGAAGGGGTCCAAGCGGAGACTGAACGACTACGTGAAAATGCGGGCCGATCTGGATAGGCGGCGGGGTTCCCGGTTTCCGGGTTCTGGGCCGATTTTGGTGGGCGGCCGTGTTGCCAAATTCCCGAATCTGGGATCCGGGCCGATTTCGGTGGGCGGTCGAATTCCCTGTTTCCCAGTTTCCCGGGTCCGGGTCTCCCGGTCCAGTTTCTCGAGTTCTTGGCTACGTCCTTGCGCCCACGGTCAGAATGAAAGAGTCGATTCTAGGGAGTGAAGAATACGTTCCAGAAAGTAGAGGGCAGAGTTGAACCGAGAACAGAAAAATACCCCTAAGAGGTTCAATAGACATGGTTTATAATGTGTACAGACTAATAGACAAGAAAAATAGAATGAGACATAGAGAGAGAGAGATGGAACATAATCGTCTTTAGTTATACCGGAAGAAGTCGCTCTGTCACCAGGGGATGCTGAGAAGGCTTCACAGATGGCGAGAGGCCTCCTGAACCTTCTGAGAACGCCCACCCTCTCTGCCTACCCCCATCGGCGCGCCGCTGATACTGCAGGTGCCCGTCTGGGGGGGGGGGCTGTGCGGAGCAAGGACAGGGCCGCCTGGGACCTCGGGCAGGGGCTCTCCAGGGGTGTCTGGACTGCTCGGGAAGCACTGGGCCCAAGGGGTCACAGCGACTTGGGCCAGAGACCCTGCCCGCACACACGTGTCGCACCATTGAAGAGGTTGACCAGGGAGAAAAGAAGAGGGTGAGTGAACCACATCGGACTATGGTGTGGGCCCACAAGGATAGCCCTAATCCAGAGGATGAAGGCGCTCGAGAGGACTGGGCTGCACGATCTTAAAGGCCATCTCGCAGGATGCCCTCATCGTAGCAGCACGTGCTTGGAGGCTGACTGGGGCTGACGTGCGGACTGCTGCTGCTGTCCACGCAGGCTTGCTCGCAGCAGGCAAGGGTCGGGACGCGCTGCCTGCTCGACGGATGCCATGCCGTCTCCTGCGCTCGTGAGCTCGCCCGCTGGGCCTGCCCGGCTGCCTGTTCTGCTGCTCTCGCTCGCTCGCCCGGCGCCGCTTGCTGCTGCTTGGACGTGCGCGCTGTATCCGACCAGCCACGAACTGGGGGAGCTGTGGTCCTTACCCCCCTGGGGGAACCCATCGCATCGACGATCTCTCGAGAGGGGTGTCGAAATCGATGGGCCCCCCAGGGGGGTAAAGGACCACAGCTCCCCCAGTTGTGGCTGACCTGTGTGTGCCGGTGCTGGCGCTTGGCTTTACATTCTGGGACGTCGAGAACAGCGATTTGGCGGACCAAATGCGATGCCACTAGCAGGTGGTTGCTGGTGCCAAGGGGTGCTTGCACTGGCTCGCTGCAGGCCTGTGCTCTTTTGCGTAAGAGCGTCAAGCGCGAGGCGAGGACTCATGAGCAAGGAGAAGCGACAAGCGAGAAGCGAGGAACGAGAAGCGAGGAGCGAGAAGCGAGCAGCGAAGACAAGCGAGCACCAATGATTGTGAAGCGACAGGCGAGAAGCGAGGATTGAGGACCAAAGAGCGAGCAGCGAGCAGACCGAAGCGAGGGATTGAGGAGGGAGGAGCGACGAGGGGGAATGGACTCAGGAGCCGCTGCCGGGAAGGGCGAAGAGACAAGAAGGAGCCACAAGAAAAAAACATTCCTTATCATTCGCGACAACGCCCGTGACAGGCCCGCCCCACCCTGATCACGTCACGACTCGCGCCGGCGCCGTGCGGGAATTAGCCATTCCGATGAATTCCCAGACGACGCCGGCGCGGAACGTGACGTGACTGGCCTCTAACCCCCCCTTCCCCCCCCCTCGGTCACGCCTTTTCTCACCATGAGATCAAGAAAAGGCATCAAGGCGAGGCAAAGAGTAAGGAGGCAGGTGGGAATCGCGAGTGGTCAGGACGGAGGGGCAAGAGAGAGTGGCAGGAGGCGGCGCGGAACCGAGACGCTCGGGGGCCTGAGGAACCCCGTGCAATGGCGCTGCTGCTGGCCCCTCTGCTGGGCACTGCTCTCGACACTGTAGACACGACAACGGGCTGAAGCTTGTCCTCCCTCATGCTGCTGAGCAGAGCCAGGGCCCGCTCCCACTGCGCACACTTCTCGCAAGCGCTGATCCCGGCGCTGTAGCTGACGACGTTGGGCTCCAACTTCGCCTCCCGCATGTCGCCAATCAGCGCCAAGGCCCGCTGCCACTGCTTGCCTTTCTCGCAAGCGCTGATCCCAGCGTTATAGATCATGTGGTCGAGCTCCAGCTCGACCTCCCACGCCTCGCTGAGCAGTTCCAAGGCCCACTGCCACTGCCAACATTTTTCGCACGCGCTGACCCCAGCGCTGTAGCTGACTAGGGCTGACTCGTGGAGCTACGTCCACGACACCTTACCCACACGCAAATATTAACATTGTTTGCCTGCGTGCCTACGTTCCTGCTTGAATGATGTTCTGTGTTCATGGCCGCTGGCCTGCTAGCCAAAAAGACATGAACATACACCATACCATGTTTGCATGTTTATCTGCTTGTGTGCTCGCCTGTTCACCACTGTTTTCTGCCGCCTCCTGCTGCTTCTGTTCGGCGTCAATGCTGAATGCAGTAGCCGTGCTACTGCTACTGCTTTCTGCAGTTGTTGCTGTTGTTTGCTGCTATGTCTTGATGCAGTTAGTGTTGTGCCGCTGGTTTCGGATTATTGCCGCTCTTGCCGATTTGGCTGATGGTGATTGGTGGTGATACTCCCGCTTGCCTTCTTACATGTTTGCGCGCTGTACTGCTTGCACGGCTGCTCACATGCTGGCCTGACAGCGTGCCTGCTTGTATGCTGGCCAGCTGGATGTGTTTTCTGCATTACTTGTTCATCCGCTCGCTGCTGCCAACTGCAGACAACTGCCGCTTGGTGTTGCTTATTGATGACAGCTGCTATTTGCTGATGCGTGTTGGCTACTACCACTGATGCCGCCTGCTGTAGACTGGTGTGGGTTTGTGCTTGCTGCGGTGTCGTGCCAATGCTTGCTGTTGCTTAGTGATGAGTGTTGCTATTTGCCTGCTGCTGTTTGATACATTCTGCCGATTTGTTGCTGACGATGTGAACGCGTGCCGCTGCTGTGCTGCTGTTGTTCGCCACCCAGTCTGTTTCTGATGTCTGTTGCTGGTTGCTGCCGCTGCTGGTTTTGCTGCTGATTGACGCCGCTGCTGGCGCCCAGGACGGTGTCGCCCATCCAGCCGAACCTCCGAGGATACGCCGCCAGGGCCAGGCCGACGCAAACAATCGGATAAGATGGCACAAGTATTGCCCAACAGTGCAGTATAGATGACATTGGCTTCCAGTTTCACCTGCCAAGCCTCGCTGAGCAGAGCCACGGCCCGCTGCCACTGCGCCCCTTTCTCGCACGCGCTGATCCCGGCGCTATAGCTGAAGGCATTGGGCTGCACCTTCGCCTTCCACATATCGTCGAGCAGAGCCAGAGCCCGCTGCCACTGCTCGCTCTTCTCGCACGCGCTGATCCCAGCGCTGTAGCTGACAAGTGCGCGACCACGTGTTCATGCGTGCGTTTCCTGCGATTCCTGGGCAGGGTGTTGCTTCACCGCCCCGGCGCAGAGCGAAAGGCTGCCGACGTACAAGCGTGTGTATGTGTGTATGCGTGTGTGCGTGTGTGCGTGTGCGTGTGCGCGTGTGCGCGTGTGCGTGTGCGCGCGCGTACTCTGCGTGTGCGCGCATGGGCGTGTGCGAGTGCGAGTTCATTTGTGCGTGTGTGTATATGTGTGTGGGCGTCTGTGTGTTTATGTTTGTGTGCGTGTGTGTACGGTGTGTGCGGGCGTTGTGTGTGTGCGTTTGTGCGTGTGCGTGCGTGCGTGTCTGGGTGTGTGCGTATGCTTGTGTGCTTGCGTGTGTGTGTGGGTGCTTGTGTGTGTGCGTGTGTGCGTGTGCGTGCGTGTGTGCGGGTGTGCGTGTGTCTATGCGTTTGTGTGCGTGTGCGCTTGTGTTTGGACGCTGTGTCGCTGCGAGCGGGGGACGCGACGCCAAAAAGCGTGTTTGTGTGTGTGCGTGTGTGTGCGCGTGTGTGCGCGTGTGTGTGTGCGAGTATGTGTGCGCGCGTGTTTGTGCGTGCGTGTGCGTGCGCATGCGCATGTGTGTGGTTGTGTGTGTGCGTGCATGGGTGCGCATCTGCGTGCGTCCGTGTGTGTGCGTGCGTGCGAGCGCACGTGCGGGTGCGTGCGTGCGGTTGTGTGTGTGCGTGTGCGTGTGCGCGTATGTGCGTGTGGTGTGTGCGTGTGTGTGTGAGAGAGCGCGTGTTTGTGCGTGCGTGTGTGCGTGTGTGTGTGTGTGTGTGAGCGAGAGTGTGTGTGTGTGCGCGCGAGAGTGTTTGTGCGTGCGTGTGTGCGTGTGCGTGTGCGTGTGCGTGTGCGTGTGCGTGTGTGGGTGTCGGTGTCGGTGTGTGTGTGTGTGTGTGCATGTGTGCGCGTGTGCGTCTGCGTGTGTGCGCGTGCGCCTCTACGTGTTCACGGCCTCCTTGCCGCGTCTGTGTGTTCTGTCTGTGCGTCTGTGTGTTCTATATGTTCGTCGCGCGCCGCCCTTGCTGTCAGGCCTGCCACGGCCCCCTTGCTTCCCCACTCTGCTCTTCTGAGCCCAGGCTTCCTTCAACTTGCTTTTGGCTCCTGCTCACCGTAACCACGCACCCCCTGCCCATCGCGGGTTTCCGGGTCGGCCTCAGGCTCCGTGCCCGTCCACTCTACTTACTCGTTCCCCCTGCCTTCCGGTCCCAGTTGGCTTCTGGCACCTCTTTCCTCACCGTAGTCTCGCCCTTCACCGACCCCCCGGCCATCCAATCCCGGATGGTTATGGCGGCCGCTGCTGGGCCTTGGTGGCCTCTGAGGGTCCGAGAGCGCTTAGTCGCGCGCGCGATTGATGCGTTCCGACCTTCTACGCCCTGTCGCTGCGCGCGGGGCCGCGACGCTAAACAGCGTGTGTGTGTGTGTGCGTGTGTGCGTTTGCGCGGACGTGGGTGCGCGTGTGGGCGTGTGTGTGTGCGTGCGCGTATAGATGCGAGTGTGAGTGTGAGTGTGAGTGTGAGTGTGAATGTGAGTATGAGTGTGAATGTGAATGTGAGTGTGCGTGTGAATGTGAGTGTAAGTGCAATTGTGAGTGTAAGTGTAAGTGTAAGTGTGAGTGCATGTAAGTGTAAGTGTAAGTGTAAGTGCAAGTGTCAGTGTTAGTGTAAGTGGAAGTGTCAGTGTGTGAATGTAAGTGTAAGTGCAAGTGCAAGTGTGAGAGTAAGGATAAGGGTAGGTGTAAGTGTAAGTGTAAGTGCAAGTGTCATTGTAAGTGTAGGTATCGGTGTAGGTGTAGGAATAAGTGCAAGCGTAAGTGTGAGTGCATGTAAGTGTAAGTGTAAGTGTAAGTGCAAGTGCAAGTGTCAGTGTAAGTATAAATGTGCATGTAAATGTAAGTGTAAATGAGAGTACAAATGTAAGTGAAAGTGCAAGTGTACGTGTGAGTGTATGTAAGTGTAAGTGTAACTGTAGATGTAAGTCTAATTGTAAGCAGAAGTGTGTGCGTGTGTGCGTGTGTGGATGTGTGTGTGTGTGTGCGAATGTGTGTGAGCGTGTGTGCGTGTGTACGTATGAATATGTGTGCGCGTGTGCGCGTGTGCGTGCGTGCGTTCGTGTGCGCGCGTCGGTGTGTTCTGCCTATCACGGCCTCCTTGCCGCGTCTTTGTGTTCTGTCTGTGCGTCTGTGTGTTCTATATGTTCGTCGCGCGCCGCCCTTGCTGTCAGGCCTGCCACGGCCCCCTTGCTTCAACACTCTGCTCTTCTGAGCCCAGGCTTCCTTCAACTTGGTTTTGGCTCCTGCTCGCCGTAACCACGCACCCCCTGCCCATCGCGGGTTTTCGGGTCGGCCTCAGGCTCCTTGCCGGCCAACTCTACTTACTCGTTCCCCCTGCCTTCCAGTCCCAGTTGGCTTCTGGCACCTCTTACCTCACCGTAGTCTCGTCCTTCACCGACCCCCCGGCCATCCAATCCCGGATGGTTATGGCGGCCGCTGCTGGGCCTTGGTGGCCTCTGAGGGCCAGGGCGCGCTTAGTCGCGCGCGCGGTTGATGCTTTCCGACCTGCTACGCCCTGTCGCTGCGCGCGGGGCCTCGGCGCCAAACTGTGTGCGTATGAGCGTGCATGTGCATGCGTGCGAACGCGGTTGCGCGTGGGTGTGTGCGTGTGTGTGTGTGTGTGTGTGCGTGCGTGCGTGCGTACGTGCGTGCGTGCATGAATGCGTGCGTGCGTGCGTGCGTGCGTGCGCGCGCGTGCGTGCACGCGCGCCTGCGTGCGCGTGTGCGCGTGCGTGCGAGCGTGCGTGCGTGCGTACGTGCGTGCGTGCGTGTGTGCGAACGAGTGCGTGAGTGCGTGTGCGTGCGTGCGTGCGTGCGTGCGTGGGTGCGTGGGTGCGTGGGTGCGTGGGTGCGTGGGTGCGTGGGTGCGTGCGTGTGTGTGGGCGTGTGTGGGTCTGTGTGTGTGGGTGTGTGTGTGGGTGTGCATGGGTGTGTGTGTGTGGGTGGGTGTGTGTGTGTGTGGGTGTGTGTGCGTGTGTGTGTGAATGTGTGCGTGAGTGAGTCTTCTGCAGTGAGTGCCCTCCCTCTTTCTCCAGCCCTCCGCGGCCGCTCTCCGGCCTCTTCCCCTCTCTTGCAGCCGGGCACCATTAGCGCGTTCCCCAGCCCGGCCCACTAGAGCGAGCGAGCGGATCCCCTCTGCCGCGATGCGACAAAAAGAGTGTGTGTGTGTGTGTATATGTATGTGTGTATGTATGCATGCGTGTATATGCACATGTGTATGTATGTTTGTGTGTATGTGTATACGTGCGTCTGAATGTATGGGTGCATGTGTATGTGTATGAGTGTATGTGTGTACGTGTGCTTGTGTGTATGTGTTTATGTATGTGTGTATGTGTGTACGTGTGTATGTGTGCAGATGTGTGTGTGTGCGTGTGCGTATGTGTGGCTGCGTATGTGCGTATGTGTGCATATGTATATGTGCAGGTGTGTATGTGTGTATGTTGACATTGCATATGTATGTGGTTATGTGTACGTGTGTGCATGTGTGTATGTGTATATGTGTATATGTGTAAATGTGGTTGTGAGTGTGCGTGTGTGCATGTGTGCGTGCGTGCGTGCGTGTGTGCGTGTGTGCGTGTGCGCGTGTGCGTGTGTGCGTGTGTGCGTGTGCGTGTGTGCGTTTGTGGGTGTGAGTGCGTGCGTGCGTGGGTGCGTGCGTGCGTGTGTGTGTGTGCGCGCGTGTGTGTGCGTGCGTGCGTGAGGGCGTGTGTGAACGTGGACGCGCGCGTGCGCCGGCGCGTGTGCAAGTGCGTGTGAGTTTGCGCGTGCGCGTGCGTGCTCGTGTGTGCGTGCCCGGGCGTGTGCGTGCGTGCGTGCGCGTGCGCGTGTGCCTGTGCGTGTGTGCGTGTGCATTTGGTGTGTGCGTGTGTGTACGTGCGTGTGTGGGCGTGGGTGTGGGTGCGGGTGTGGGTGTGGGTGCGTGTGCGTGTGCGTGTGCGTGTCTGTTTGCGTGCGTCCGTCTGTTTGTGTGCGTGCGTGTCTGTGTGTGTGTGTGGGGGGGGGGGGGGGGCGTGTGCATGCGTGTGTGTGTGTGTGCGCGTGCGTGTGCGTGTGCGTGTGCGCGTGTATGTGTTTGTGCGCGAGCGTGCGGGGGCACCAGTTGCGGACGGCCGAACGTCAGTCCACTCAGCCAGCCGAACGCCTTAAACCGAGTTCACACAAGCCTCGTCCGAAAAGCGGCTCGAATATGAGCCTGTCGAAAACGACCACGACCACCGCGAGCAGCAGCAGCCTCTGGGCCGCCAGCGGCGCACCCCCTAGGAGCTCTTGCCGCAGCGGCCTGCTCCCCTACGGGCTCTCGCCTCGCAGCGACTCGGCCGCCTAAGGGCCCAGAGCCGACTCCGCAGACCGCCAGCACCGTCCATCAGCCCCAGGGGGGAGACCTGCTCCAGGACTCGCCCGCGTCCTGGAAAAGCACCCATGCAAGGGCGGCGTCCCCGGGGTGGATGCCCATCACCTCCCCCTCGTCTCCCGCCCCGGGGCCCACGCGAAATCGCAACCGCTAGCCAGCGGCCACTGCGGCACGGGCAGTGGCCGGCTCTGGCGGCGCTTGAAGTGGCCACGCTCGCTCCACGCTGCGCACGCTCATCTCGTCGCCCTCGGTTGCCACCGCCGCATCGGGCGCGAGCACGCGCCCGCGTCGCCAGCTGCTCCGCCACCGGTGCTTTGAAGCCCCCTCCGCCTCCGAGTCATTGGCGGGGGCACCGGGCCCCGCGGCAGCACCAGCATCGGGGCCTCCCGCGATCGCCTTGGCCGCCGCTCCAGCGCCATCGCCGCCGCCTCCTCGTCCCTCCTCCGCCACAGCCCCGAACAGAGGCTGCGCACGACGCCGACGCCGCCGAGCCTGCAGAGCGTGCTCAAGCGGCGCGGCCTCCGCGGGCGGTTCGGAGGGATCCTCGACGTCCATCCCAACGTCCAACGCGTGCGTGAGTGCGTGCGTGCGTGCAAGCACGCGCGCGTGAGTACGGGCGAGCGTGCGTGCGTGCGTGCCTGCGTGCATATGTGTGTGTGTGTGTGCATGTGCGTTGCCGCATGCGTGCTTGTGTTGTGTTGTGTTGAGTTGTGCTGTGTTGTGTTGCGTTGTACTGTGATGTGTTGTGTTGTGCCGTGCCGTGCTATGCTGTGTGATGTTGTGCTGTACTGTGCTGTGTTGTGTTGTGTTGTATTGTGCCGTGGTGTGGTGTGGTGTGGTGGCTTGTATTGTATTGAGTTGCGTTGTGTGTGATGCGTGCGTGCGTGCGTGTGTATATGTGTGTGCGCCCGTGTGCGTGTGTGTCCGTGTGCGTGGGCGTGCGCATGTGAATGTTCGTGTGCCGGTGTGGGTGTGTGAACGCGTGTGCATGAATGTGTGAATGTGTGTATGTGTGTGAGTGTGTTTGCATGTGCGCGTGCGTGTGCAAATGTGTGTGTGTGTGTGCGTGCGCGCGCGTCTGTGTACTCTGTCTGTGCTTGTGTGTGGTCTGTGCGCATGAGATTATTTTGTCCTGCGGGGCCTATCTTCAGCAGGTGGGGACCCCGTGCTCGTCCATGATTGATGCCCTCTGGGGCCCCTCCTGGGGTTATCCTGGAACATGTTTGGACTCTCGCGGGGCCCTCTCTCGGTGCTTCTCGAATAGCTGTTGGGGTCCCGCTTGGAAGCTGGGCCAAGATGGGCCGTCTGGGTGGACCACGGCGGCCCCAACGCGGGCCAAGAAGGCCTGAAGACGCCCCCGAGACAGATCGAGAGGCCCCAAGAGAGCCCGAAGGGTGCACGATGACTGCCCAGCATCCGCCGGAGCCGTATTGCCAACCCAAGAAGCCCCAAGGGGGTCCGAAGAAAACGCCAAGACGGCCCCCAAAAAGATCCGAAGAGGCTCCTCTGCCGCGTCGGCTGAGAAGCTCAACGCAGTGAGGGGGTCTAGCTTCTTGGAGCCGTTTGGAGCCACTTGGAGCCTCGGGGACCTCTCGAGTCTCTTTTGAAGTAACCTTTGGCCATCTCCAGCCCCCTGGAAGGCTGTTCTGGAAATGACTGGGCCATCCCAAGCACATCTTGGCCCCTTTGTGAAGCTCACGAAACTCGCGGGGAAAATTCTCAAGGAGCTGTCATGAGGCCCGAAATGTCAGCTGATGCACAGACCCATTTCGCATGCACGGGGCCCTGCAGGATAGAGGATACAACGTTGGGCTCCAGTTTCGCCTCCCGCATCTCGGCGAGCAACGCCAGAGCCTGGTGCCACTGCTCCCCCTTCTCGCACGCGCTGATCCCAGCGTTGTAACTGACTAGGTCTGACCCGCGGACTTCCGGCCGCGGAATATACCAGCCATGGTGTGGACGTGGAAGTGGAGCGTCTCTGGGGCCTCGCGGGGGGGAGGTTGGAGGAGACGGTGTGGATGGAGGTGGCCGCTTGAGTGGAAGGTGGGCGAGGGATGCGGGCAAGCAGGCCTGAAGGCAGAAACGCGGTGATGGATGCGGTGTCAATGGAAGCACACCCACGTAGGCACGACATGGTGTTGACAGAAGCTGTTACTCACGCCGCGCTCCGTGTTCATCATAACTTCTACAAGGCGGGTCGCCGTGATAGTTGTACCTGATCTTCGCCGGGACCGAATGATATGTTTTATCTGGTAGTGTGCTGAGAAAGTGGCAAGTGGGCGCGGGCATGTTCCTGTTCGTTCGTCTGGAGTTTAGACGGCCTGAGAGGCCCGCAAGAGGGCGCCGAGACGGCCCGCACTGGGGCCGCTCAGGCGCCCAGTGCACGGGAGGATCACTGATAGGACGCTGGAGCAACTGTCCAGTGGGTCTACTTGGGCTGCGCGTTAGGAGCCTTCTCGGGGTCTCCGGTGGTGTTGAAACTTTCAGGGGTTGAAACAAGAAAAAAGCCTTCTCGGGGTGTCTGGACACTCTGAGGGCCCTCTTCGGGGCAGCCTTGGGACATGTGTTGCGGCTCAGTGTTCGACTCGTGGACCCTCTGGGCGCCCGCCTCGTCCCTCCGTGGATCCTTCACCCCGTCGATCTTCGGTAGGAGCCGCCTCGGTATGTCTGGACCCTCTAAGGGCCTCCTTCGAGTCATGCTCGGGACATGTCGGTGGGTCCTGTCGGCTTGTGGGGCAATTGGTGGCGTCCTCCTCGTCGTCCCTCGATCCTTGATCCCGTCGATATTCGATCGTCAGTCGTCGACGCTCCCCAAGAGAGAAGCAGCGAAGGCCTCTTGGAGGCCGTGTGGGGGCCTCTTCTCATCCTCCTGGGGGTCTTTGAGGGCCCTCTTGGGCCGTCTGGAGTGCCTCATGGGGCGTCCTGGGGCGATGTGGAGCCGTCTGGGGAGTCTCTCGGGCCATCTTGCAAAAAGGCCTCAAAATCAAGAACAATTGATGTCCCGGCGGCGTTAGAATTACTGTCGCGCTCCCATTGTCGGGCGCTTGCCAGACCAAAACGGCGCGAGAAATCCTCAGAACGGCGCGAGAAGTCTTTCAGACTGGCACAAGGCGGCCCAAGAGGCCCCCAATAGGGCCTGGAGAGCCCCAAGACGGCCCAACGGGCCCCAAAGAGGACCAACTGAACCCCCAAAGAGGCCCCAAGAGGGACCCAACAGGAGGCACCCACAGGGACCGCCCTCCCCCACTGGATGGCACCCGAGACCCCCAACATGACTCTGAGAGTGTCCCAGAGGGCCCCCAAAGCCCCCAGGAGACTCGAAAAACTCCAAGAGGCGACCCCCTAGGCTTTCAAGAGTCCCCAGGACGCCCCGCAACAGACGCGGCGGTAGAGAAGGACGAACCAGCAAAAACTGCATGCAGGCAACACGACGGGAAATGGCAAACAACACACACGACATCGGAAACCGCACGTATCCTCTTCTGGGGGTCGGCGGAATGGCACAACCCTCTTGAATATACGTTCCTGTGTGTCCCTTCAACTGCTCGGAAATCATACGCTGCTTTTCTAAGTTTGGCCCTACAGTCTCGGTTAAAAAGGCCCATCAAACTGCATATGAACAAATCAATGCCGTCGAACACACACCAAAAGAACGCACGGGAAATGCCTGGTGCTCTTGGCGCTTCCCTTGCAGCGACCCCCCTCGATCTGGCCAGGACGTGGGACCACGAGCCGTGGCCCAGCCCTTTGGGCCTCTGAGTGTATATTTGGGAAGGTCTGGGGCCCGTTTGGGGGGGCTCTGAAGCCCTGCTGAAGCGGTCGATGACGACGACGACGACGACGACGACGACGACGAGGACGACGACGACGACGACGACGACCGAGTGTCTGTGAGCTGCCTTGGAGACGTCTTGGGCAAACATGTGTTGACTCTTTCGCCTCCTGGGGACCCAGCGCGGATGGCCTAGGGTTATGTTGCTCCCATCGTACTTAAAGACCACATCCCAGAAATCTGTTCGAGCACCCGGAAAAGTGCCGAAACAGTCTCGAAACAGTGTCTCGGGCGAGTGTCTCCCAGGGCCCGACCTGTGAAAACCCTCGAGTTGTCGGGGTACTTTCTTGGTGCTCGAAATTATTTCTGGCGGTTCAGGGCTAAAGTAGGTTGGAACATCATAGGTCTAGGGGCGTCTTGGGACCACGTTGGCGCCATCTTGGGGCGTCCTGGGCCTCTCGGGGAGCCTCCCAGGGCAGTCCTCGGAGCCTCCCAGGGCAGCTCGCGTGAGCGGCTCGCGGTCCCTCGGGCCGTCCTTGGGTTCTCTGGGGGGGCCTCTGGTATGCACTGTGTGCCTCCAGGGTCGGCCGAAGGCGATGCCGTTGCCACTTTGCAAGCCTCTTCGGAACGCGTTGCGATCACGCTGGGCTCCAGCTTCGCCTCCTGAATCACGCTGCACAGCCTCAAAGCCCGCTGCCACTGCTCGCCCTTCCCGAGTGCGCTGATCCCGGCGGCGTAGCTGATTACGTCGGGTTCCAGCTCCGCCTCCTGGATCTCGCTGAGCATCGATAAAGCCCCCTGCCAGTTCCCGCCCTTCTCGCACGCGCTGATTCCAGCGCTGTAGCTGACTAGGGCTGACCCGTGGACTACGTCCACCTGCGGGGTGAACGGATGCAGCTGCCAGGCGATCAGGATAGATGGCGTCATGTTCACATCTCGGGGGCTTGGGACCTGATTTGGGTTTCTTGGGGGTCTTTCGGGAGCGTCTGGGGGGCCTCTTGGGGGCCAGCTGGTGGTTTCTGGGATCATCCTGGAGCGGAGGGTGCGAAAGGTCAGTTCGAGGTCCACCTCGTGGGGCCCTCTTGGGGCCGTCTTGGGCCGTTTTGGGGACCTCTTGGGCCGTCGTGGAGCCCTCTTCGGCTGTCTGGAAGCCTCTTGGGCCATCTTGGCGCGATCGTGGGAGCCCTGGGGCCGGCTGGGAGGTGGAGACTCCGAAAAGAAGAAACCGCTGAAACCCTTCAAATAATGATAGGGAAATCCGCCGATCCGGCGTGTGAACTACAAGGAGCCTCAGCAAGAGCTTCAGCCCTGAGCCTAAGCAAGAGTTTCAGCTCTGCTTGGGGGGGGGTCGCCGGGGTGGCTCTGCCGGGGAAGGGGGGGAGGAGGGGGGGGGGGCGGTCCCCCATCTGGCGTTTTCTTTGATTGGCACATCTGGACAACCTCCGGGGAAAGGGAAACGAGGGAAGCGGGGGGGGGGGGGGCGGTCCCCCATCTGGCGTTTTCTTATTTGTTTGCGCATCCCCAAGCTGTGTCGGAGGTCCCAGGGACCCCCCTCAGATCAAGCAACTACCGCCCCCAGGACCCTCCCCTCGGAACCCTCCCCGGACCCCCCCCCGGGACCGCTCCAGGCACCCCCCCAGAAGAGAGAAAAGAAAGAGGGCCGGAAGAATCGAGGAGGGAGGAGGCCACAGAGCCGCGAAGATCACCGAATCAGGAAACCCCCGGATCGGCGGCACTGGCCGGAGGCCATTACAGTCCGTAAGTTTGGCCTCTCGGGGCCCTTCTTGGCAGCCTTTTGGAGCCCTCTTGGGCCGACTTCCTGTACTGTGGGGCCTTCTGGGCGTCGGGGGGGGATTCTTGGAAGCCAGCTGGCGGTTTCTGGGATCAGGGCGGGCGCCAAATGTCAGTCCGTCTTGGGGGCCTCGTGGCCCGTCTTGGGGCCCTCTTGGGCTGTCTGGGAGCTCTCTCTTCGGGGGCCTCGTGGGCCATCGTGGCGCGATCTCGGGGGCCCTGGGGCTGGCTTGGAGCGTCGAGGTTCCGAAAAGGCGAGAACCTGAAATCCTTCAAACACCATAATGAAAAACTTAATCATTTTGGCCTCTCGGGGACCTTCTTGGGGGCCTCCTGGAGCCCTCTTGGACCGTCTTCCAGCACTGTGGGGCCGTCCGAAAGCCAGGTTGGCGACCTCTCAGGCCGTCTGCAAGCGTCTCGGGCCATCTTGGGCCGTCTTAGGGCCCTCAGAAGCCGTTCTGTACCCCCCCAGGGGCCAGCTGGGGCCTGTTTTGACCCCATTGATCCCCCGCCCTTCTGTCACACGGTCCCCCCGGCGTCGTAGTGTAGACTAGTGCGAACCCGTGGATTAAATCCACGGTGTGCTGAACCTGGGACTCGCACACCGTGGGTGAACAGCTCGTCCAAGTTGAACAGCTCGGATGTCTCTGGGGCCCTGTCCAGGGCATGATGGGTTTCTCGGGCGTCTAGGCGTCTCGGGCGTCTAGGGCGTCTCGGTATCCTGCGAGCTTATCTAGGGCATCTCGGTATCCTCCGAGGCAGTTTTCTGGGCTGTCCCCCAGAGCCTCTTCTGCGGGACAGCCCGGGAAGCTTACTCCGAGTTTGTCAATAAGCGTCGGAGGGCGTCACCCCCGCCGACAGCCCACATCGACCCCCATTGCGGGCAGCCACCGCGCGCCGTAGGCAATCCGACCCCCGTCGCGGCGCGACGACGAGGCGAGGTTGACCCCCGTCGGGGGGTACCCCCACGCTTGTTAAGGAACCCAGAGTAGTGTAGAGACGCTTTGGGGCCGTCCTGGGGCGTCCTTGGGGCTGCGAAGGGCTCTGTGAGGACTCTCTTGGGGCCTTCTTGGAGAGAACTTGGCACTCTTTGGGACTGTCTTCGGGCGCTCTGAGGCCATCTGGGAGGCTTTTTGAGCCATCGAAGGCCTCTCCTGAGAGTCTCTTGGGCACTATTGACGCGATGTAGGAAGCGCTGGGGCCCTTCTTGATGCGGAAATGGGGAGGCACTGAAAATCACTCGAATATCTAGAAAGGAAAGCATACGAGTTTGGCCTCGTGGGGCCAACATCGGGGTCCTCCTGGACCGTCGTGGGAAGCCTCCTGGCGTGTCTTGGGGCCGTA